CGCGCTTTGCTGCCCGCAGATGGAGTACGACTGGCTCGGCTTCGGCTACGCGGCGCTCGTGGCCTCCGGCGGCGTCGTGGGCTACGCCAGAGCAGGTAGGGGCGGCGGGGCGGGAGCGCGCGGCCCGCGCCGCGCCTGGAGCGCGGGGAAAATCCGGGACCGACACTTGGGCCGGGAGCACAGCGGGAAGTGCCCGGGAGCACCGGCGTGAATGGCAACCTTAAGGGAGAGCACTTCTTAATTCTTTGCAAAAACGCCTTTAAATGGAGGAGTTAAACGGGTGCCCGTGGTTTAGAGTGCTGTATTTATCTGTGCTAATAAAAGCACTTGGCTGTCAGTGAAACGGATGGAGTCCGGTGAGTTCCAGGCCCGGATCACTTTGGAGTCGGTATCCAGGCGCCCACGTCATGCAGCAGTGCTCTAACCTGTTCTGCCTTGTCCTCATTTACCCATTTTCTTTCTCCTACGGATGTTTAAGCCCTCTGGGAGGCTGTTTAGTTAGTTGTGTGCCTGACCTCAGGAGCTTTAAGCCTGACCTTTAGAGGCCTCACTCGGTGTTTCCAGTGTCAGCCAACCAGGGCGGGCAGAGTTCAGTTTGCATTTGCAGGAAACGCAAATAGACAGTCTTGACACACTGCAGAAATCCTTGTTACTTGGTAAATGGTACTTGCTTAAATGCTTTGAAGTGTCATATCAATAAAAAAAAAGAGCAGCATCTTTTATTTGCTTTAGACGTTTTGCTTGGTTTGTGGTCCTTCAGCAGGCGCTTTCTCTCCCCTCGCTGCAGGCAGCGTCCCGTCTCTGGCTGCCGGCCTCCTCTTCGGCGGCCTCGCGGGGCTCGGCGCTTACCAGCAGTCCAAGGACCCGAGGAACGTGTGGCTTTCTCTGGGTGAGTCTGCTTGGCTCCTAGGTACTGAATGGTGCTGCTAGCCATATAACTAGCGACGTCTTTTTTTATCCTGGTGTGCTTCTGCCAGCTGCTGCCGTTTTATTTATAAGAAGGCTGGTAAATGGAATGCGCGTGAAAGACGCTTGGCTGTGAAGGAGCATTTCCAGTCTGCGGCCATGGAATAAGCGGGTGTGCAGGAGCGGGAACCCCGTGATGTCGCAGGATAGGGTGTTAAGGAATACGGGTTTCCACAGGCACCTCAGTAGTGCAGTGTGTGTTTTAGCATGTGGAAGAAGTCATCCTAAGGAGGGAATGGTCTGTTCTTTTTGCTTCTGGTGGATGAGGCACTTACATATGAAACCATTAAAAAAATCAAATACACTGTAGGCCAGATTTTCTCTTGGCTCTTAATGTTTATAGAGCCAATGTTGGCTGTTAATATTCAATGTTAACATCTTTAGAATGAATGCATATAGAATCAAATGTCAAAAATGCAAGTTTTAATTTAGTTTGCCCTTTTACTTCAAAGGTCCCAGAAAAACTGAGCACCCACATCATGATTTTTTAGCATCATTCGAGCTTTCTGGCAGTTTTGAGACTGTTTGCACTAAAAGAAATACCATTCCTGTTCTGCAAATAGACTGGGGGAGCATCTTGTTTACTTGCTGGGAAAGAACTGGTGGTTGTGGGTGGTTAGACTTAACTCTGACCAGAATTACTTACTTTTAATGTGTGGTGGTGYACATTACCAAGGTTGCTGTAAAGATTGCAGCAGCTTTTCCTTTTAACAAAACAAATAAAAAAGCAAAAGTTGGCCTATGTTTCCCTGTGAGGATGAGGGAAGCATTCTTGTCTGCAGGTGTTTAGCGTCTCCAACGCTGTTGCRTGGCTGTGCTGATGCTTCAGACCTGCTTCCCTGAAGTAGCTCTGGCTGAACTTGYTTCTTTTCTTCTCCCAGTGGCGTCTGGAACTTTGGCTACAGTTATGGGAATGAGATTTTACAACTCCAGAAAAGCAATGCCCGGGCTAATTGCTGGTGCCAGGTAGTCACATGCCTTTGTTTTAGTCTGTATTATTGAATAAGCTTTTTGTTTAATTTAGATGTGGATTTACTTGAAAATGTTACATAAGTTCTGTGCAAAATAACTTGTTGGAGTTCAGCCAAATGAAATCCTGCCAGTGTTCTTCCTTCTTGCTTTTTGTGGGATTTTTGACAAATATTCTGTTCCACAGTTTATTCATGGTTGGACGGCTGGGATTGCAGATCATGGAAAAGCCTCTTCAGCCATAGGTCTGCTGCAAGTCACTTGAAGATACGTGACTGAGAAGCCTGAAAATGCAACTGCCTGAATGCACTGCACAAAAGTGGAAAAGACACTGCTGCCTGTGCACTGTATTTTTCATATCTTAATGATCCCCTGTATTTTTAAAGGGCAGAAGCTGAGAGCCCTTACGTTGTTTAAAACAGTATTGTCTCAATCTCTGCTGTATTATGAACCAAGAAAATAAGCAAATAACGTTGTTTAGTTTCTGGTCCTGCAGCTCAATGTAGGCAAAGACCTTTTAGCACTTGTGTGCAAACAGTTACAGGACTGAATCTTTAAGTATGCAWTTGGATTTGTCATTCTGAAATCTGTTATAAAGAAGTTGCCAATTTGTCATTAATGTTTACTGTTAAGAAATGTGCTCATTCTGTTACCCATTGTCCCACCATTTAGCTGCCAATTTTTTTCTTTCATMAAGTTTGAGTTCTCTCAGCCAAGGACTTTGTTTCAGCGCTGCAACACACCCGTGGAGCAGAGTGTCAAGGTAACGCAAGGMATGTAAACCTGCTGCTTACAATCATGAGCAAAAGTGCCCAATTAAATGTTGTTCATTCGACTTTTACAGACTGTTGCTTGTAAGAGAAATTGAAATATGCTTCCTCGGGTAACACTGAAGTGCAGGCATAGCTTTTGTATTTCATGAGAAGATGTAACGCTAAATAAAGCAACAGATGATTATTACAAACTTCTGCATTGTACACAGGGTTTTTTTTGTTTTTTTTTCCCCATCCAGGTTGACAGTTTGGTGCTTTTTCTGCAGAGAACTTGAATGTTTTTGTGAACATGTATTGCATAGATGATACCACTGTCCATTCTCTGACCATAACAGACAGTGACTTGTAAATATAAACATTTCACCAGTGCAGAGGGGAGAAAAATGCATACAGACCATTTATTCAGGCTGGTGTTGTATTAGAATATAATGCTTGGGTTTTTTTTTTTTTTGCAAGATGATTGATCTATTTCAGATTTGAAAAATTCTCTGTGAAAGTTTAGTTAAATACTAGTGAGCTCAATTGCTGAGTCTTTGCTGTCAGGCAGTTCCCTAAGTCCTCTGTTGCCTGAATTCATSCTGAATACAAACCTGCCCTGCACCAAGTGCATGGGAATGTATCCTCTTTTCTGGGCTCCTTTAGCTACATCCTTCTCTACACAGACCCTTAGCTTCCGTTTCCTCAGCCTTTGCTGTTTGGTGACTTGTGCTGGGAGACGGGAGCAAGGGGAGTGATCCTTTAAGTCAGTGCCTCTGGAGTCCCTGTGCTGAAAGTTCTCTGGATGGGGGGGCCTGGTCGCTCTGTAGGAAGCTGAGGCACAGTTGGTTTCCTTCCTTCCACCTTTCTGCAGTGTTTAAGGAAATGATCTGGGGCTCTGGATGTAGTGGGGAGGGGGGAAATAGTGCCTATCTGGGCACAGCAGGAGTAGTTTGAGGCAGAGCTGCAACAACTGTACAAAGCCTTTGAGCCTCTTACTATTAGTCCTGAAGGTATTAGCAAGAAAAAAATGTTAATATTGGTCATATTTTGATGATAAATGAATCAGGTCTGTTGTGGATGGTTAAAGCAATTTCAACATCCTTCAACACATGGTATGGTAAAAGAAACAGCACGTTTCTTCTAGCTATATTTAATGCAACTAATATTATCTATTTTTTTCTGCTCTAGGTGACTTAGAAAGCAATGGACAGAGGTTATTAGTTAATTCCTTCACTGGATTTTGATCTTAAATACATCACTGGCATCCTGTACTATAGAAGAGTGATGTCTGTCTTTTATCATAAAGACACCATAAGCGCATTTATGAAGCAGGATTGTTTTAGAAAGTCAGGTTGTCTTTCATTGTCTAAACCAGATGTTGATACTCTAAAAATAAATAAGATACATTTTGGTGCATAAGGACGTTTATTAGTACTAAGGGAAGGAAAAATACTTAGGCTGGACCAATGGCAAGCCTCTTGTACATTACTGACCTACATATCCCTATCTTCTCATCCAGTACTAAGGTGGCCTTTTCCTCAGATGTCATTTTCTTAACAAACTACTAGACTTCTTCATTCAACTGTTTCTGACTAAATCAACTTCCAATAAGTTATTTACCCTGTATATTATGGCCGATTAGGTCAACAGCGAGAACTTGGGGGTTTATATGCAGTTAAGCCATACAAACACTTTTCTTTTTATAGCCCTTAAAGTAATCATTAACCGCTTGACATTTTAAAGAGTGCACTAATTTTGTCCTTTAGAAAGGCAGTGTAACTAATAAAGCATCTATTCTATGTCTATTAACAGAAATATCCTACATCAGCATCTTAAAATGATTTATTGTAGAATGCAAGGTCCTTTGCAGGGTTTTACTTTTAGTGCAGCAGCCAGGAATTGTGTGGCATGAGCACACAAATATTGCAGGATTGCATGAGTAGAGTGGGTGTTTCTTCAGGGACTATAGCTGCCCTTTAGGATCGAAAGCGACCTCTTTGAAGAACAGCCCGAATTCTCTGCTCATGTGGTTTGTTGGACTTCTGTAAGAAGCCAGAGGTTTAGTTCGATGCCAGCCCAATAAAGGCATTCAGATGCACCCTTAAAATGACAACTAGACTGAAGTGTAGTATTTGTTTGTGGATTATTAGGTCCCACCGGAAGGAGTCGGTTCTCACAATTGCTACAACCATTTGCACGTTATAGATGCTAAGCAAGGGCAGTGCCGGGGAGTTCTGGGATCCTGGTTTGATGGAGCCGTGTCCTGCTCCAAGTCCAACCTGGGCTTTCGCACCCAGCCCTGCAGCCCCGCGCTGGCTCCAGCCCTGCTTCTTGCTGCTTGTGTGCAAGAAAGCAGCAGGTGCCAAGGGAGGACTTGCAGAGGGCAAACAATCAAAACAGCTGTTGTTAAGGCTACACCTATTCTATGTGAATCTATTAAAAATATAGTTAGTGAAATACTTTCATTAAATACTCAGTAGTTTTGGCAAGATGTGTTACACAATACTTTATCATCCCCTACCTTACATCCAAAATTTTAAATAATATGTGAAATATGTTTTTCTTCCGTGGGCAATAGGACACAAGTTCTTTTATTATTACCTACTATTGCATTGGCTTAGGAGAAGTGAAAGCAGAGAGGCGTTTGGGGTTCCTGCTGCAGGAGGGCCGAATGCAGCTCGTGGAGCATCTCAGCGGGACGACGTTCTCTATCTGTGCCCTCCGTACTTGGCCACCCAGTCCGTCCTTCCATGTACTGGCTGGATTGTTGGTGGGCGAGCTAAAATATTCATGGGTCTCGTTGCTGAAGTGTAAGTAGTTCCTGGTAGCTGTGTACGAGCAGCTTTGGTTTTCCAAGAATAATCTGAAAGAATCAAGAACCCAGAATCAATTACAGTTAACAAGTATTTCCCTATATCCACTACATTTCATTTTATTTCATTATATTGGCTTCCAGCTGGTCTCATAAGCATTCTTAATTGGGCAGTATTGTGTTCCTGGCCTTTCTACACAGGTTTCCTCTCTTCTTGCAGTTCAAGCAGTCACTGCTTCTGCAAGCTTGCTACAGCTCAGGAGTTTGCACCGCTCCAGGAGTTGACTGCTGCTGCTTTACATGTTCCTCCCCACTTCTTCCACTTTCCCAAGCCTTTAAAGTCAGTAACTTGGGATCCCCATAGCCCAGATTTCGGCAACATCTTATTTTATTTTTTAGCACTCCTAAAGCAAGTCTTGTCCCTTCCTTTCCTCCTTTCATAGTTAAGTATTCTCTTATTGTAGAATACTGATATTTTTTTTCAAAAAATCAGTGTTGTAGATAAAATACATGGGGTCTGCGTATTCTGTTTCTTGTGACAGCCACCTGCTCTTTTCTGGTATTTTTCAACAGTGGGATCTGTTTGGTAAAACTGAGGATCAAGACATTTTAAAAGGGGCAGTCTCAAGGAACTGAACCTCCTGAGGGTTCCATCTCACTGGAGACTAATATTGCGCCCTTGTATTTTAAGATGGCATTCCCTGTATTTCAGCAGCAAACGATTCCCGGCTGCCCTCGCGGGGCAAGGAAGGCCACTTTTCTCAGGACTCAGCATTCTTCTCAGAAAATTTACCGTTTACACTTCATTGCTTTATTTAGACTCTGACATTAAAATACTTAATAGAATAAATGAAGAGAGTGAAAACCAAGGACAGCATAACCTATTTCAGAAAGTAAAAAACAACATGAATAGAAATTTACAGTTTGGATAATCAGAATCAAAGGGTCACCAAAAAATGTAAATATTCAAGGAAGAACAGATAGCAGCTAAAATCTGCCACTCCATCTCTCTAGCCATGCAAATCTGCTGGTTTTAGACACAGCATGAGGGATTTAAGCAATAGGACTCTCACTCTTCTCTGGGACATGAAATAGTCTCTTAATAGACTTCCGTCTGCCAGTCTGCCTGATTTTCACTGCACGTTTTTCACTTCTAATTACAGATTAACAATGATTTTATTTCCCTTTGGATCACCATAAGTAATTTCATTTCATTCTCACTATTCACAGTGGTCTAGAGATAGTTGCAGATGTTGTCCTCCTGTGGACTTCTTGATCCAGACACTGTGACAACTCGMGACAAGAGCCGTTCCTGCAGTGAATCATTGAGGCAATGAAGGGCAGCTCCACTCTTCCCTGGCAGGTTCCTGACCAAGCCAGGTCCCGTATATGCATAAAGTTATGAAGTTATGTCTTCATATGAAGTTAATGAAGTTATGTCTATCTGTGTATGCAGGAGACCGCATGCTGTTGCCTGCCTCCATTCCCCCTCCTCACAAGTCACCTGAAGTTCCCYAAGAGGGAGCAGACAACTGAAAAGGGGAAGTCAGCAAATGAGCAATGTTCTTCAGCAGGGCCGTACCACACTGGTCTGTCATAGCCCAATTAATTAAACAATTCACTATTCAGGGCCTTATTATGTCTGAAATAATTAAACCAATGTTCTTGGAGGGTTTACTTACAAATCAGTTTCTCCTGTAATCTGAGCACTTTCATAAGCCTCTAAATCAGAACCCTATCAATAAAGAACGTGCTCAGCCTATACCTATCTTAGAGCAGTGAAAGTAACAGGCATATTCAGAAGGATTTCATATTACTTTCAACTGATAAAGGAAACAAGATTTTTTTTTAATGTAATGCACATCCATGTCATTACTACATCACAGCTATTCATTATCAGCTACTTGCATTATAGGGGGAAAAAACAGAATATAGTAACTTGAAATTTTCACTTCATAAAACACMATTCCTTGTGACATTTAAAGGATGAGAATTTTATGTCATCTCAGTATCCACAGACTTGCAGAGCCAACACAGTGAGGTGAAGACAGAATGAAAAACCATTTTTGTGACCACAAGAGAAGATGTAGACSAGGTGGGACCAATAAATGAGAGCAATTCATTTTAAGTTACTGCTTATAGATTGTTTGTGAATTTACTAAATCACTTAAGGAAGGTCTTTGTCTTTTTTAACATTGGGGCTGTTGTAGGCATGGATCAGCATCAYTTCACTGTATTGGATGAGATTATGCTGATGGTGGATACAGATTTCTGTCCAAAGCTTTACTCACATTTAACTTGGCCTCACAAAACAGGATAGCTCCATGGCACAACTGTTACAGCCAAGAAAGTTCCTACAGATCCACTAAAATGCAACATGGTTTTCTAACCTGGATTATCTAGGTGTATTTATTAAATGGTGACAGTACCAATTCTTACCGGTTACATAAATCATGCATTCGTATTTGTGTCAAAYCTCTACGTGGTCATTTACTATCAGACTGTGGAGTTACAAGTTACATAGTTTTACAACTCCGTTTAGCCCTTGGCTAATCAAAACCAATTTAGTCCAAACTTCCTGGAATAACAAAAAACATGTACCTTTATTTTCTGTTTTATCTAACACTAGTAGTAATAGCTTCTCTGAGTATCAGGGTTGTCTCTAGGTATCTATGTTCAATTCACGTGTGTTATATGAAAGTCTCAGACATAACTTCTTACAAAGCTGGAAGAAAACCTCCCTACAGACTAATAAACCTCTTAGGAAGAGTGAGAAATGAACTTCTCTGTTTGCTTCAGATGCATGTGCCAGGTGAAGGAATGTTTCTTACCTGAGGCAGATGCCCCCAAAGGCGCTAGCTGTATCCGTTGTCCAGCCGATCCAACTTCTTTTTTATGAAACGAGGGGATATATCCTCCTGGCAGGTTGTAACCAGCAGCACCTCCAAAGCCAGGAGTTCCTGTTGGATGTTACAGAGTTAATATTTTCAGCTGCACTCAGAAAAATTTTGCTTGCTTTTCATAGTCACTTCAAAACATAATTACAGTGCCATAACACTAATCCAGATGACTGTTCTTAAAATTCTTTAGCTGTTATCTGTTGAGAAGCAGCATATATTTGTTCTTGGCTTTGTATATTAGCTGGACCCTTTAAAGCACCCAACAAAGCCTCTCAGTTTATGCTCTAGTACATCTGATGCTGCAATTTAGAAGGCATAAAAATAGCAAAGCAGAAAAAACACTTCACATGTACTTTCATTAAATTCAGACCTTGTAGAAAGGTTTAGGCTGAGTTACAGGAAAGCAGAATCTTACGTTTTACTTGCAGGTATTTTCTTTACAAGAAGCTGGTTCAAACACTTCAATATTGGAAAATTAGCGGTAATCTTGCAATCCACAGTTTGGGTCTACAGCTACCTAAAAACAGATCCAAACTCCTCCTGTGGTAAGTGGTGCCCCACCTAAGGTTGACTTYGTGTGTTCCACGATTAAAGGCAGATCCTCTCTCTCGAGGTGTGTGTAGAACTTTATTGTACCTAGTTTGGGTCCAGATTTTTATTTACAGCAGTGCTACCTTGGGCAAATTGGCATAATCTCCACCATTTGTAAGTCAAGAAACAGAGTGCATTCACATACAAAATCAGTACTGAATTTATTGTCAAATAGCTGAGGGTTCAACTATACAATATTTAAATTGTCCCTGCTCTAAGCAAATTTCTGKTCCTTTCTGTCAGTCATTGGTGGGACAGTGTTAGACTCCTGTGTCTGCAGCTGCAATGTCCAGAGGAAAACTATTTTCTCTGGTGTGGTTCCACATTGAGTAGTAATAAATTTGTGAACAAGTCCATACACATCTGTTTTTATTTGACATATAGCAAATGAGCATTTTTATCACAGTAACACTCAGGATGGTTTCAATGGTAGCTCTGGTAAAACATAATAATCTGATTTGACAAGTCCTTCTGTTTCGTAATCTGTGGCTTCAGAACAAACTCCAAATGCTCCTCTTCGCACAAACACGTTTCTCCCTTGTGATTATTTCAGAACTATAAGTTGTAAAATTGGTCATCTACAAACCTCAAATGACTTTGCAGGCAATTACAGCTGGATGGGGTCATACTGTGCCCCTCTCTGCAGAAGCATTAATAACACATATCCAGCTGAGCTCAGGTTTCCCTAAACTGCCACTTGTATCAGTCCTGAGAACAGCTGAGTCTGTACATGGCTTCCCCATATCTGATCYGACACCAGTTCCTAGTGCAATAAAGAATGACACAAAAGCCCCAATAAAAAAATAAAGCTTTAATGAAGTATTCCAAAGAAATGTAACTTCTTAATCTTTTGCTTTTCTTCCTTTTCAGAAGTGTGCCTGAAAGACAAAAACAACACAGTGTTAGTGCCCATGCATGTACATACCTATATACTCTCCTCTTCCCCCCCCAATTCTGGTACCTACTTATTTCACTGGGAGTGCTCTGTGGGTGTCCTTTGACAGCTCAGCAGTATTCCTTGTAGTCCTGAGGTCTGAGAAAAAACACCTGACAGGCTCCTTCTTTATGAGCCCTTCAGCAGGAAAGGGAAGGCGGCAGCCAGGAGGATCAGTTTGGGAGAAACCAAAGAAGGATCTTTAGCTGGATGGAAACACGGGAAGAAAACAAAAAGCCCATCAATACAAAACCAAAGAAAAACTCCAAATAAAAATTTTAAATCCACTGCCGTAATTCATTCCTTACCTCTTACTGGGCTGTGCAAAGGAAGGGGTTCTCACTAGTATCCCCATCAGGCAGCTGGCTGGTCTGGCAGGTGTCAGCAAGCACAAGCCTAGCTCAGGCAGGAGCCCCTGCCTCACACGGCGCCCACCTGGCTCTTCAAAAAGGCCGGAGTCGTTGAGTCATGTGAGGTAAGCAGCAAGCTAAAACAAATGATGACCTGTTGCACTGAGGTAGATCTCAAAGGCAGCACGTGCCCGAGGTGCCAGAAACTCTGGAGAGGTGAAACATTCTAGCAGCTTTATGGTGCCTGCGGTGAGCAGCATATTTACAAACAAGTGAGGCTGCCAGGAAACTGGATTTTCCACCCTTACTCTGTACGCCCTGAAATCAGTGCGGTCACAGCACTGTGAAGTCGGTGTGAGAGATGCAGAATGAATTCAGCCAACAGCGCCAGTCACAAACGCTGCTGGGAACAACCCGTCCTTCAGCAGAGGTGCTCGTGCTTCTCCTTTCCAGGCAGCCCTTCACCCTTAGCCARCTACAGCCCGATCACACGCTCTGCCTTGCAACTACGACGACAAAATATTCTTTGCCCTTAGAACGAGTGCCAGGGGTTCAGTTACTTATTGGGACATTCACATATTCTTTAAATGAATTTAATAAGGACATGCACTCAGTTTCTTCTCTCACATTTCAAAGGATTGCAATGGCGTGGATTTAGGACAGTCCTCAGGTTGATCTGCATGTGGAGGGAAGTGGCTCCCTCTCCTTTGCTGTAAGAGCAGCTCTTCACTAACCATTTCATTCCGTATTCAGTGAAGTTAATGGTGAAGATACCATTTCCTTTAAAAGCCCAAATCAATAAATGATCTTTTCAGGTTCCGTACAGATAGATAAGTGTATTTTAGTTTTGTCAGAATAAAAAGAAAAATAAAGAAATCCTTAAAGATATATCTATTTGTTTTACTTATGTTCATCCCGGTGACAACTCCAAGGAGTAAAATCAGAAGTGGAACCAGTTTTTCATGGTGCTTAACCCTGAGATAACTAAGATTGACTTATCTGTTCCCCTGCTTCTAGTGTCAGTGAAAGACAGTTGCTAAAGCTTAACTCTTTGTTAAGTAGCCCTTCTGTCTTAATCCCTTAAGCCCAAAGAAGCTTGGTCTAGATCAGTCACAATAAGAAGAAAGAGTTTTGACAAAACAGTGCAACCACTGACAACGAAGAACGTAACTATTTGGAATCTGCATTGTAAGCGCAATTTTAAAAAGAAACTGTAAAAGATAAATATGAACAGTGCAAAGAAGGAAGCTATAACTGCTATAAATTACCTTTKGGGTCCTCTAATTTTTCATTCAACCTTTCTTTGCATGATAGCTTTTCAATTGGTATAATTAAGTTCTCTTCTGTATAGAAGGAAGGTGAAAGGAAGAAAAAGATAGAAAGACAGTGCTTTAGAAAAATAGGGTGAAGAACATGACTGGTGATATAAAAGAAATGAGGAAAAACAAAGCAAGAATTTCAGTCCCACRTCTTCGCAACAGAGAAATACTATCATCTATTAAAAGGTCCTTTCTAACAACGGAATCAAAAGGTATTTTCCCAACAATGCAGTCACACTGTAGTCACACAAACGCACAAATCACACAAGTTTCACCACTCAGGCATATCTGCCAAGTTGACTGATTGTAACCTTGTAATTCTTCATGAGAAAGCATCTGGTTGTTAACTAATTTCCTCTTAGGAGAATGTTGTGGGTAAGGAAAAAAAAAAGGAGGCTCTAACCAAATGCAGTTAAATAAACTGTAAACTGAAAGTGTCAACTTTCAGTCTAATTAATATGAAAATTGAATACACAGATTCATGCCCCAGTGATCCTGCTTTTGTATGCATCTCTCTTAAAGGTTATTGGCTCCCCATCATTTGAAAGATCAGCACATCCAATTTAAGCTACTGATGGAAATAATGGTATTTGTTGAACATCCAAGATTGTTCCAGAGTTACTTATTTATTTATTTATCTATTTATCTATCTATTTATTTATTTATTTATTTTTAAGACTTCTTAGCAGATAGCCTGARTCAGCCATTATGCACAAAACAAGGCTTTTTGATCAGGAGATTTCAATAGAATGATTTTCTTTGCACTCCAGTTTGTAAAGCGGGGAGATGCCCCCTCTTAGTGCACACATCTGGAAACTGAGCACTTCACCTTCTTGTGCCTCATTCCGTTTCCAGGGCATTTTATGAAGAAATTATTTCTGAGGCATTTCAGAATAAGGCAATTCTGAAACCTTGAGACAAGGTTTGTAGATTGTTAGAAGAAAAATTTAGGATGATAGSAAATAATTTTATTATATGTCTCTTCACTCCATATCTTGTGTTCATATGTTGGACTGCTGTTCTACAGTGCCCCACATCACACTGATCAAGCAGTAACGAGGTCAAACTAGTTGCTTAGATTAATTGGATATAACAAAGATATAAGAGGATTACAAACAACAACAAAAAAAAATCTGAGCTTTATAATAAGAGTTAGTTTGTACTTCCCTTATGCTCTGAAAGCAGAATAAGTGGCTTACATTTGAAGACGTTATTTTAAGAGTAAGTAATGAAAACAGAGGGAATGAAAAGGAGACACAGAAGATAAGCCTGACAGAAGTTAAACCAGAGAGTCTTAGATAACTTAACTGTATAAATTATGATATGAAACAACGTGACTGTTTTTGATTACTCTTTTACCTGTATTATTTTTGTTGAAAGACATTCCTCCTCCAACATGTCCTAGAGGTTTAGAAAACAATTGGTTGTTCCAGCTTCCATAAGATCCTTCTTTACTGGCTGCTACTAAAGAGACACTCTTAGGGTTTACACCTTGAAAAATAAATTATGTCAAATGCTGTAACAATCAGTCTGCAAACATAATAATTCAGACAATGATTTGACATTTCTAAAAAAGTAAAACCAACACTGAATTCTTTGTAATGTAAACACCATTAACGGAAGTCAAAGAACAATGTCCATCGATTAGGTTAATTTCCACAATAAAACTACAAAAAGAGTAACATTTACTTTAAAACTTCTTTTTTTTCCCCAGGCTTCCAAGACAACAGCTTTTAAAGTCTATTTAGTACAGTCACCTGTTTTATACAAAACCATAGCCTCATTACTGATATTTTGACTTTCAAAGAGGTAATGCAGATTAAGTACACCTATCAAAAACTGAGTTTCTTAATGCTGAAAATAAACTTGCTTCRATGGTTAAGTCTAGAAGTAGGACAAGGAGGTTCTTGTCACTTCAGCATGTTGGGAACATTAAAAGAGCTAATGGGATTACACAGCATGAAAGCAGCTCCCAGATCTAGTGGGGACAGACTAAGAGTAATACTGATAAATAACAAATATGCTCCTTGAAGGTATTATTGGCTTAAATGCTGATATTAATTATAATTAAGCCTTTCTCACTGGTAAAAAAATACTGAAAAGAGAGTAGTATTAGTTTTTTTTTTTTTTTAAGATAAGAAATCGAGATTAGCTACTCATTTCTGTTATTTTTAGATGAACATTTTTTTTTGCCAGCTTAAGACTCCTGAGCCTAGTGTCCTATTTGACATTCCAGAACTTTATTCAAAACTTATGTCTTAATGAATTCCTGGGAAATCAGTGATAAATTCTGAGAAATATGTAATAAAACCCTTGTCTAGCAATCAGGAGCTCCTTTGTGAATCAGGTAAGTTCTTATATGTGCTCTACAGCAGAAATCACAGTGCACTTGCTGTAATTGCACAAACCACCAGATAAAGAAAAGATAGTAAGAAGGACACCAAGGCAATCATTTTATTACAGAAAGCATTCAAAAAACTAAGGGCATGATATGCTCCATTTCTTTCTCCCTCTTCCCATTCTTCCTACCATTCTTCCTAGCAAGGACATCAATTCATGCTATTCAACTCTCAAAATCAGATTTACACTATGTTACCTCATATTCTTGGAAAATGACTCTCCTGCAAAGACAGGCATGTTTATGAATTCTTTCCAGCCCAGGTGGATAACGTTTTTAAACACTTCCTACCSAAGTAACTTTACTTTTCAGAACTACGTCCCAAACCCCCAAGCCTATAGATGTTGCATGTTATAGATGTTACAAAACTGACAACCTTGCACTGCAGGTATTTTCTTCAGTACTCAGACAGCCTTCCAATGGTCCATCAGAATACAGTCTGAGGTGTCCAAGATATCTTAGATTCATGTGACTGAGAGTGTTTTATATGCTAGTGATCATAAGAGTGCATGAGAACTACTATGCTGTACAAGCAGTGCTGAGCTCTCTTTTACCTTTACACAGCCAGGCGCTTCCACAGCAATTGTGGCAAGGAATCACCTTGTAAAACACTTAACCCAACACTTGAAGATTAGCCAGGTTATGAGAAGTGAAATTATCCAGTGTGAAACATAAGGTTTAAYAGTACAGCATGTAGATTGTTTAGGGCTTGTGTTCCCCCTTACCAGGTAGGTATCTTGATTGCCTCAGGTAGTACTGTTTTGCTGATGTGTTYGATATTCCAGAATCATTTCGCATTGGAACCTTATTTTCACCTGCTGACTGGACACAGCCTGAAAGTTTTGCGTCTGGCCCACTGAAAAATCAAAATGTTCAGACAACATAACCAAAAATTTCAGCTCAGAATAACATAAGCTAGCGCTAGATTGAAGAGCACAGTGCTCTTCCTTCATCCTGCCTTCAGCCATCAAATTCATTCCCACTGAGAGTAGCAATCGGATCTCCTACAGCATGAGTTTGACTAGGACTTAAAAAAAAAAAAAAAAAAAGTATCCAACACCATTTAATGGCCACTCATGGTACCCTTTGAATGTCTAAACTGATACAGAAATTGTTGTTTATAATAAATTAAAATGTAAAAAAAACCCAAAAATAACAGTCGACAACAATGTTTGCATTGCTACTTCAGAAAGCATAGAAAAAAGTACTTGTTATACATATGAAAAAGTGCAATAGTTTTGAAAGTGTGTATAAAGACTTCCCTCCACCCCRTTTCAGAACTCCATATGCTTACTCAGTTAATAGGAAATAGAGGAAACTTGARATGTGTTTTAATTAATGAAACATCAATGAAAAAATCAGGACTATATCTCATTGAGGTAATTACTGAAAGGAATGAAAGTGGAACCGTGTATATGAATGAAGAATTGGATTATAAATGAAAATTTTGATAAAAAGCAACTAAAGACTTTCAGAAAGGAATAATGGAAGTATATATGTAAAATAGCTAGTCATATCACCATAATAAGAAGTCTTTGTKTTAAATGAGCTCACTGAGAAAATTAGATTAGGTAAAAGAATTAAAAAAGCCTAGATGAGATTACTGCTCAAAAAAGAAGGGGGAAGAGGCATTCTGAGCAGTTGTCCTTTCACGAATCTCTCAAAGGAGGAATGTTTACATTTAGAAGGCTTTTTTTAAAACCAATGAAAAGAAAAACTAAGGCAGATAAAACTGTGTAATCCAAGTAGTACATGAGAGGCAGTCCATGGCACCCTTCCTCATTTCCTTATCCTATAAACAAGTTCAAAATAAGTGAGATCCTCTTGGGAAAAAAAAAAATGGCTACTTTAAGAAACGGTCTATCAAATAAAGGCAAATGTGGAGAAGTATTGCAAAMCTTTCCCTAATTTGAGTGACAGAAAAAAATGAAGTTTCAGTAAAGCAGTAAAGCAAACAAACAAACAAAAAAGGTTTCTTAAAAGCAAGACAAACATCCAAACTCTAAATGTCTGAAAATAAATTTGATTCAGCTTGCATATTAGTGTTGTTTTGCGATGACTACGAACAAACCCGATATGCTTATATAGCTCCTTACATCCTTKCAGAGCTTCACTGACTTAATTTTTAGCCAATTTGTATCACTGTATAAATCTATTGGACATTGTGAACCATGAAAACTGTGAATTTATAGCTACAAGACTTACCCCAAAAGGCATTCCTTATTTTTCTTTTCTTTCAATACTGCAATGCTGGGCTTCTTTGAATATGACATTCCAAATTCAGTGTCATCCAAGTCATCCCAGCTGTCCACAGCCTTTACCAAAGTCTGACCCCATCGTCTCCTGCAGCTTTTAAGCCCTRCTGCACCATTCTGAGGGCCACTAGCTGCTTGTTTCTATTTTAAATAAGGAAAGAAAAGCTTCAATTCAATTCTCAAACTTTGTACTTTACATCTAACTCATTTCCTGAATATGCATGAAGAATTTTGAGATTTTTTCCCCTTGTATTTTGTGCCTAATTTGGTTTGACTCTCAGAAAACAAACAATGTTGAGAGGTATTTGGAATGTTGCTCAGTTGGGTTCTCAAAAACTGCTCARCTCTACCTTATGTAGTGAAGCTAATGCTCTATTTGCAGGCCCAGCTCAGCACTGAGGCTCTGCTGCTGGTGTCTGCAGACCCCGTGTTCTTCGCTGCGGACAACTGCCCCGCTGTCGACAGTTTGCGGGGAGCAGACCCTTCAGGGCAATCACACTCAGGGCTTGGAGAGCCAGTTGCCATGGCCCCAAAATAGCTCTGTCTTTCAGAAGTCTACCAGGCCTTTCCTTAACATTCCCTGCTGAACGAACAATTAGATTATAAAGATGCTCTTTCATATGACTGTATTTTGCTTTATGGTATTTTTTTGAATATCTGTTATGTTTAGCATACTCTACACTGCAGTTCAGTAAGCATAAGTGGAAAGTCAAATGAAGGGCATCTTTCCTTATTTCAAAATAATTTAGGTATTCTTAAAATTTTAACCCAAGGTTTAATATGCATCTTGCTAAAAACTCTTCTTTTAAATTGTGACAAGTTCAGGTATTTAAAGGAAGGGATAAGTTCCATGTATTTTACAGGTGCTCATTACTTTACAGCTATTTATAATATCCAATAGGCAGGAAAGAGTGAACAAARTCATAAAAAAAAAATCTCTAAGCTTTCTGAGGTATCTTCTTGAATAAGGCAAAGGAATTTCTAGCTTTCTATTTATTTAATGTATACTAATTACATTTCACGAATCATTTTGTAAAGATCAATAAGTGACAGCTCTTATAATTATGTTACTGTGTATGTCAGTAAAGGCCATTWTAAAAAAACATACACTGTTGTTACAAACAATATGTTCTTCTGATGTGCTCCAAAATCTACTATGTTATATCTTTAACTAATCCTTAATTATCTATTTATAATTCCTCTCATAAGGAGTATGACAATTTTCAGGGGATGCACTGGCTCTTCATAGCAGTAGCTTGTAAGAGAACTACCTGTCTAAATTAGCCATTACCAAAAAAGCAACTTACTGGTGATGAGTTTTTAACGAGGGCTGGAAAAAACGGTTGTGCCTGGGACTGCTGCTGTTTTGGTATTTGCTGGGTCGCTGTATTCTGAGGTAACTGGATTTGCTGGAGAGGCGAGTGGTCARCCTTTGACAGGGGCTGTGGCTGTGTTTTGTCAGGTACCTCAGGTGAGGACAGAGGTTCTGGCTTGGCTACAGCCTCCAGTTTGGGGAGAACAGGCTTTGGCTCTGGTGGCTGAACTGCTTTAAGAGGAGTCTGCTTCTCCAAATATTGGGAAGGAGGTCCCAGGACTTGGCCAACTTGAAAGTAAGGGTACTTCAAAGCCTAGAACAGAAGATGGAATTATATTTCAAATCAGTAACTTCTGTAACCACATCAAGAATCTAAGCAGATTTTTGAAGTGTCTGAGGAAGCTCTAGAGCAGATATAAGATGTATGCACAAGGACATATATAAACAATAGACACAGAAAGCTATCAGTTCTATATTTTAAGTTTTTCCTCATATAATCACACAAAGATGAATCCACTTGTACAAGTTAGAGCAGTCTTTCTGCCTTTCTTCCTCYTTTATTTCTAGGTTTTGTAGGGCCTAGTTTTAGGGATGCATTCTTAACTGCAAAGGTTTGTATATAACGGAAATAACCAATCTTTAAATATGTGAAAAAAAAATGATTTACTAACTTGTTGTAAATGTTGTAATGTTGTGAGTTGTAATGTTTGCTATTCAGTATTAATGTATGGCTTAATTAGAATTTGTTAATGCTAAAAATCTATCCTCACTTTTCCCTATAACCAACTTTCGCACTTTTTTTTTTCCTTTTGTTTAACATGCTCTGTATCATAGCCATTGTTTACTGTGACTTCMTGGTGTTTATTAGGAAACTATAGTGTTCATTTTCTTGCCAATGAGTATTTCATTTTGTTCCTCTGACCTTTTCATATCTGTTAGAAGACGCCCAGTATGGATGTACTGCACTAATGCACCAAATCTTCCTGTGTCATAACACTATGTCACGCTACTCTTGCTGGGTAGAGTCCTATTCTCTGCGAGAGTTCTCAAAGAGATTTCTTGCCTCAGCTGCACTTGAGAGTTGCAGCCTCTGTACACATTTCCATCAGAGTGCATTAAACTCTCCCTATTGACCACAAATTACACAACTCCTGCAGCTGCTTCCTTGACAACTCACTTGGGCAACCTTTGGCTATTTACACAGTACGCAACCTAGCCTCTTATAAAAGCAGAGATCCTCAGCTCTTCCATACTGCTTTCCATCTGCAACTTTACAAAAAATAAAGAGGAAGAAAGTTTAACTGTCAATAACCTCCTCCTTACAGAGAGGARAGAAAAATGCATCATGCAGAAGTGACATACAATAACAACTCAGGAAACTGGTAGATTCTCACATTTTAATCTGTCCTGTACAATGATAGTTTCAGAACAGACCAATACAGAAGATAACATTGCAGAAATAAGAGTTTATAACGGCAACTGAGCTAGGTTTAGAACATTTTCTCCTCACTATTTAGTCTCATTCCCACCCAGGTCTTCAAGAAGCAACGMCTTTTTTTTTCTGACTTGCAGTACTGTGACAATCAAATTTGTTTCCTTATCTAAAATATTTTAACAATGTAAGTCAATGTTGTCTTATACTGAATCACTCAGGGCACAGACCTGACTTGCTGTAGGTCTCTTCTTTGGATTCCAGTTCAGCATATCACTCATAAGCTGTATTGCTTCACTGCTTGCATTTGGGATGAGAGTTTTTAGGTTTATAGGGACACACTGTGGGAAGCGGAAATTCATGGCAGAAGCAAGGTGGTATCCTTCTGGCCAGTCACTCTGTTTAAAAAGAAAGAAAAAATAGTTAAGAACAACCAACCACTCGTACTATATATCCCTCTGGAACTTGAGCCAAGCTTGGTCTGTGTAGGTCCTTCCTAAATACTGAACAACAGACACTTGCTATGACATCCATAAATGCAGCATCAGTTTCAGGCCAGTCCTCCAGCTCTCCCCTAGGCAAGCGTGGAACTGTCAGTGTGGAAACTGCACTCAGACCTATCTTATCTGAAGAAGAAAGTGCAGCAGTACCAGGAGCAATAACAGATACCACTGAAATAAGCTCAAAACAAAGCTGACTCAAAAAAAAGCTGACTGCAATATATGTCCCTTAYAGGAATATCAGGGGTGAGGCCTTTCCATCCAGTATACCTTGTTTTGGCAACCATGTCACAGGCTATTTCAAGTATCCCCATTAAGAAATTCAGTGACTAAATCATAACTAGACACTACTGAAACAGGAAAAATAAACATGACTACCAGATGAAAAACGTTTAAAACACATCTAATTCTCAAGAAATAAAACATGAAGACCTAAATGGCTTGATAATTGCATTATCTGAATAATAAAAACACAGAGTTAGGAAAGACCAAGAGATCAACTAGTCCATGTCTTTATCCCTTCCTGACCAGTATTTGTCTCAAAAAMCCCTAGATTTCCTGCCATTCCACAACCCATCTAAACAGTCTATTCTACAACTTAATTCATCTCACGATTAGAAAACCTAAGTCTTTCTTGTAGCAATTTAAGATCATTGCTAAGGGTTCTATCATCCGTGGGTGGCGAGGACTACTTCTTTTCTCTCCAGAGAAGCTTTTTGATTTGCTAGAAGATGTATTTCTTCTTCTTTCCTCCAGTCTTCCTTTGTATAGACCGAAGAAGACCAGACGATTTGATATTTGGTCATGACTTTTGTCTTTGCCCATCTCTGAACTTTGTTTTTTGTTTCTTGAAAGGCAAGAATTATAACTGGACACAGCATAGCAAATGGACAAGAAAGAYGAGTTTGTACGTCAGCAGACTGTTTTTGTTCTTTACATGCTGGTGTGGAATTTGTCTTTCTTGCAACAAAACCTGCCAATGTACAATGCACTATATAGCTCCTACATCTTTTTCTACAGGAATATTACCTGGATAGTTATCCCCAAATATTTATGCAGCTGATTACTCTTGCCTAAGTAKAGTACTACACACACCAAAAAGAGAGGGTTTCTTGGTTAGTTTGTTTTTTAAGACTATATATCACAAATTTTATATAAAATTCTGCATTCCAATCCTGTCCTATAACCTACTAAGTCTTCCTCAGCTTGCTTTCTGCCAATTTAAGCAGTGAAATCTTTAGTATAGCCTTTAGTACAACTGAAAATTTGCATCAGATCCAGAACCGCTCTGAGTGCTGTTCAATCTCTCTTTCATTCTGAGAATCGTGAAAGAGCCTCAAGATTTCAGGTGACCTGCTATTCCATTACAGAGATTTTGTTCATGTAAATGAACAGAGGAGACCCTGACCTCCTTGCTGCCTCTTCCTCTGCTACTGGAGTTGATGACATTGTGTTTGCCAGAGGTAAAGACAAAAGGACAATTTAGATCTGAGAAGCAATAGCTAATGGTTGAACTGGTGAAATATAGAGATACAGTGAAAACAGCACAGCTGAAAAATGAAGAATGTATTTCAGTTTCCCTAAAAGATATATTTGGAATTATTTCAACAATGTCAATCTTGAGCTAAAGAAAATGCATTTCACTAAGCTCTCCTTTTCAGATTGTCATTAGCTTTTTCATTAAATTATCATACTCTTAGTGCACCATCATTGCCAGTTGTTGAACAGGGTGACAAAAATGTATCTATAACAAGTTTCCAGGGCACTACTTAAAATAGTTTCTTGCCACACTAATCATTAAAAAATGTAAACACCCAGAGTCATTGATACGATACAGTATTGAAGACCCAGACAACTAACAGGAAGGCAAATTGTAATGAAGGTCCCCCCTGGGCATGATTCCTATAATGACTTATTATAGTACAACGGACTGAATAAAAAAGTGAAAATAAAAAAAGTTTGAAAAATGTGCTGTTTACGAAACTTTATCTGCAGAAATGATCTTACAACATAATTTCTTGTGCTTTTTCAGAATGCTGAGAAATACTTCACTGGTAACAAATGCAGTACTTGTTGTGGTAAATCCTGTCGTAAAACTCAGGTATTCTTCTCATGCAATGATCTCCCCAAAGAATGCCTTGGCATTGTSGTAAGGAGATAAAATTCCCAAGTCTGGCCAGCAGATGACAGAGGCACAAAGGAACTAATTACTGCTTCCGGATCCTAGGGCTCACCTACAGGGACTCTAATCCCTAGGGTCATCAGAAGAGGCTACAATTTTCTCTGAAATATTCAGCTGGTAACATCCCCCCACCCTTCCTTAAACAAGCMGTGCGCTCGCTAGCCAGGGAATGATGGGAGTGCAAACAGTCTGCTCAGCCACTAAAGCTGCAGACAGAACCACTCCAGCTGATGCGCAACACCCAAAATGCTACACATTTTGAAATTCTCCCTCTGATCTCCTTCCATTTCTAGAGATTGTTTCTGCTATAAACTGAAAGTGTCCCAGAAGCCAAAATACTGTTTTCTTTCATAATTACACAGTATATATACATACATATATATACTGTATATATACATATATATACATATATAACACACACACACACATATATATGTATATTGTAAAACATTCTTTTCCTTTCTTTAGGCTTGAGAGCTGCTTAATGAAAGAATCCTCATCAACAGATTTTGAAAATTCAAGTCTTAAAATAATGTTATATATTACMTCTTATTTTTGATTCCTAATTTTCATTAGGACAATTATACACTGTTCTATAATACCATAACATTAGTACAATGTTATCTGTGCTATTTTACACACAACAACTTTCATTTAATGCATCAGATTCAATTCCCACTTCCACAACATATCGTGTTTAACTCTCAACCCCTGACCTTTCCTCTCTGCTCTGTCATGAACTTGCACCTGTTTCTCAGTATCTTCTCCTGAACGTCCTCCCATGACTTTAGGCTCTCTGTGTCCCCAGCTAACTTTATTTATGCTTTAAGATTTCTGTTCCTCATGTTTCTACTACTARCAGCTCCTTTACTGGACATGGATTATATTTTATTTTATACTGGTACAACACCAATGAAAATGGTGTTCCCTTCCCTTTGTTTTTTCCAAGATCTAGAGACTCTCAGTGACAGTCAACTGTTTCATAAAATTTCTATTTGTTCCCACAGATGAAATGAAACTGTACATCTGCCAGCTCTTACCTTAGATATGATATTTTTAAAATGTAAAATAAATCATTTTCTTGCTTGTTCATACATCTATTTGTTTAAACACATTTTTAACTAAAGTAAATATAATCCTGTGCACTGTTACACACTCTTTCCATGCACTTTCATATTTAAGACCCAATCTCCCTTGTAGATTTGAAATAGTACTTAGGCCTTTCAGGTAACAATTGAAAATAATTCTTTTTCTCTATAAAACACTGCATAATTTTCTCCACTACTTTTTATTGCTAAGAATATCTGAGATTTGTGTTCAAGCTCAAATGTTCCACTGATGCYTTAGAAACAAGAGCATTTTGTAAAGTGTGACCTGTCTTAGTGTAACTTACACAAACTCCAAATTCTATGTGCCAGAATTCCTTCATTAAAGGAAAAGAAATCAGCAGCAAACGAAATCCTAGGAAGTTTGGGAGCTTTTCCTAAGATGTATGACTTTAGATAATTTACACATCTGGCTTTCATTACAGAGGAGAATAAGGTTATACTTAATAGCACAATATAGATCAGGCACTAAGATATAACAAAAGACAATGGTACGAGGCTCTACATGCCTCATTAGAGGTTCAGAAAAAAAACATTTGGAGAGGCAACTGGCTGGCCTGTAGTGTGCTTGACCAGATGACTGTGGCACATACCATACTGGGGGAAGAGAAAAATGTTAAGTCTGCACACTATTTACTAAAACAATAATTTACATTTATATKCTGAAGTGAGATATTGCTTGATCTTTTTTAATTACTATGTGAAGTGTTTCAAAAATCTTACCTTCTTTGGAGTCCCTAATACTTGGCAAATTTTGAAGATTTCATCTACTTCACTTGTCCCTGGGAAAAGAGGTCTTAGTGTGTATAGYTCTGCCATTATGCTGCCAACTGCCCATATATCAATAGGAGAGCTATAAACTGATGATCTGAGCAACACTTCAGGAGCACGGTACCTATGGAAATGGAAAGAAATTATACGTAAAATCAAATTGGGAAGCCATGAGAGGTAATTACTTAAGACTACGTAGAACACTATAATACACTTACCACCTGGTAGATACATAATCTGTATATGGTGGCTGAGATCTTAACTCTCTAGCCAAGCCAAAATCAGCTATTTTCACAAGTTCTGGACCCATACACAGAAGGTTTTCAGGCTTCATATCTCTATGAAAAAATCCTATAGAATACCAGACAGAAAAGAATGACAAATAATTGTTATCACTTCTTAAACAGCTAGCTCTTAATAGCACCATTTRAATCTTATTTTGGGATAGTTCAGAAGACTAGGGCTTTGCATTTTATCCATTCTTATTCGCAATAAGAGAAYGGCAAAACAACAAAACACATTTTCCTCTCCAATAATTATTAAATATTTTAACAGAAAAATTGAAATGGTCATTAACAGGCTAAGGAAAATAAATCAGCTATTATAGCAGTTACCAAGTAACAAACTAACTTCAGAATGAAGTTAATGAAACYTTCAACAAAAACTACAACTGTTTCAGCAGCTTTGTATAATGGAAATTGGAGTATCTGGCACCATTACCTAGTTTATAAAATTCCTTGAAGAATTTAAACTAATTTGCTTATACTTATGACAGCAATTTGCACATAGAAGCATCTAAAGGAGTTCAAAATTCTACTCTGGAATGCTAATATGAGTAATGTAGAAATGAAGTTTCTTTAGTGCTTACTGTTTGCTTTAGCACCTATATATCTGGAACTCTTAATTTTAAAATCATCTTCATAAGTTAGAGCACTGAGGATATAATTCCGCTGTTTAATTAGAAAATATGCTTTGTTATAAATCAATTTAAAATTCACTCACTACAACAAAACATTTGATTTCTGCATGCCGAGACTCACAACTGTAAGCAATCAGCTGAAATTATTACAGCAAAAGTATCATTTTAATCAAATTCATCATATCTGTCACTCCCAAATGCAATTTAGAATCAGTAAATTTTCCTGTTTCAATTTTCTCATCTATTTTATGCAGAAAGGAGAAGGGAAAAGAAGGTGCTAATACTCAGAGAACAGTATATGATCTTGGTCAGAAAGACATAAAACACCAGTTTATGGGTATTGGATAATACGAGGAAACAGAACCAGTCATTCATGTGAACCCATCAACAGGCCTCACACAGTAAATGAAAACTAATCAGAAATCATTGCGATCATTGCTTCTTATTCATTTTTGGTGAATGTTTTCTTTTTTATGGAAAGTTTTAGAGATATAAATGTGAAGAGAAAGACAGGTACAAAATAAATGAGTTAACAGAGCAAAATAATGTTTTTTAAAATAAAGGAGCTTAATACTAGTATTTCAGAATGCAGTTTACAGACATATTGGATATGTGAATTAAAATTTTTGTAAGTGCTATGAAATTTTGTTGTTGCAAGCCCACAGCTCCCCTTTATTATAACAAGGTTTTGGTGCTTGTAATTGCTAAAARAGACTCACATCTTAGAATGTTTGTATCCATACTGTATTTGATAGACTGAATTTTCTTAGTGAGCAAATTATTTTACTGTTTTTGTAGTCTTATGGCACCATATTAGTTATAATAACTTAAGACAGAAGAAAACTGCCATCTGTAAAGTATCGATGCTCCTTAAAGAGATCCTTTTCTAGGAAACAGAGAGAAATGCACAGTATAGCAAGCACGCAGGCATTCTGTAGTTCGTTTATTCATCTGGCATCTAAGGGAGAAAAAGTGCTAAATGCTTTTTTTTGAAATATTGAGCTCCAATGCGTTCAAAACTAAATTAAGAACATGTAATGATATAAAAAGCAAGATAATAATTTCAGATATTGTTTAAAAAATGCACTACACGAAGTAGACGGGAAGAATTTTTACTAGAGATTATTAATAGACTTGACCAGCTTTTTTTAATTCATAGGCTGTTTTTACTGTGCATTACCTTCTTCTGTTTAAGAAAAATACAACACAGTTTACTCTACTCTTAGACCTACCGTGTTTATGGATAAATGCTAGCCCTTGTAATATCTGATACATAATGTTTCTGACGACTGACTCAGGGAACAACTTGTTTCTGTGAAGAAACAGATTATCAACTTCATGTAATTAAAAAAACCCCAAAAAGCTATGTTTCTTTTTTTTTTCCTGTAAGACAAAATATAGGTGTTTCTTCCTTTTGCATACTACAACATAAGCAGAAGAAAACAGACCTGCTAAGTCTTACACACAAAGCAAGACAGACAGAGCTAGTTCTTCTCTCCAAACTCGCTTGCTGCCAGATTTTAATCTCACTCTTTTTCCGTGCTGCAGAAAGGACTTCTCTGCAGAAAGGTCCATGGCCCCACAGCTAGATGCCACCTGACCGTGGCCACATGATACCGCAGCAAACAAAGGACTGCATGGCTTAGCATGCTGGTGTATGATGTATCCTCAGGGGAGTTCTGTTTGAGAGCTGCACAGCACAGCAGCACAGCACCACGTAGGCATTGCTAACAGTTATTATGGGATGTGAAGCTCAAGGGATTAGGCCCAGGTTAAAACAATGATAGCAGCAAAAGAATTTAGGAAAGAAAAAACGATTATTAACAACAAGGCAGGTCCTATTGCAAAGTTCACCTTGGAAACCTTGCTATTTACAGTTCATCCAAGTCTGCAACATCAGGCAGTCTATGAGGCAACCCATGTCTTTCTCACCAGCATGCCTGCATGTACATGCAGGTGACCACTTTCACCTTGCACCATAACCACAGGCAAAAATGGTATGAACAAGATCTTATCTAGTCCTTCATAAATTAAAAAAAAATGCCCCAAATAATGATATTTAGAATTTCTCTCATTTAATATACAGTGAAAGCATGCAATCTATTGCCTAACAACTGAACAAAGTATTATTCCCAGGAGTATTTTAAACTGAGCAATGCAGAATATTACCCTCTGTATGCAGGAACTGCAGCTCCTGTTCACATCAGAGACAGGGGCTGCAGTAAGTGCCTAAAACAAAAATTCTAACATGTTCCTCAAGAGAGCATAAAAGACATAAAACGAAACACCACAGCATACTGTCTGTTCTATGAAAAAGAAATATACCTGTCCTTCATTAACTGATACAGATTTTCTTTCATGTATTCAAACACAAAATAAAGGTGGTCATTTTCTCGGATGACTTCTTTCAGCTTTATTACATTGGCATGATTCAGCTTCTTCAGAGACTGCAATACAGAAAAAAAAACGCTTTCAGAAAAATTGACATTGAATTTGGCCCCTTATTAAAGCTAAATTTTTATCTATAAAAGTTTCTAACTGTATTGATGAGTAACACACAAAAAGGTACAGGCGCTTACAAGGAAAAACAAATTCTGAAGCTGTATCAGCTCTTGCTTACAGAATTGAATAAGAAAACTATTTTTTTTAAGCTGTACTTTTCTTGTTACAAAATTCTCATGAACAAGGAACCTCTCTTACACACTTTCTTTTTGAGGATGCTGATTATGTGCTACATTCAGTAATTTAAACCTAAATTATGGACAGTCAGCTGATCTGACAGCAGTTTTCTGTAGACAGAATACAAGATACCTGAAACATAGGATGACTTCAAGTCCAGATTTTCAAGTATTAGGCCTGGTCCTTGGCTAGTCAAAATTCCCAATGCTTTCTTAGAATGACCCAAATATGAGAACTGGCTATATCTCTAATAAGCTACCAGTAATGAAAGAACAGGCTGTTAAAACACATCAAAAGACTAGTTACAATTTTTATTATCAATAATAGGGGGTTTGCTATAGGACACGGATGGCCACTGCTTGAGGACAGGGGATATTCCACAATTCATGAGCTACTCTAGAAATGCTAGCAGCCCATGGTGGTCATGGATCATGTCACCCTAGTTCAACGATTTCTGCTCAACTTTGAGCTTATGTTTATATRCCGTAGATGTCTTTTCCTTTCATGCAAACCTAATTAGATAGTTTCTTAAACGGGATATGTTCATGCTTTTACCTTGACTTCTCTCAAGTTCATACATTCATCCCATGAATAGAATTTTCTTTTCATTCTGAAACAGAAGTCCATAACAAAATATTTTAAGTAAAAASTACGGAACGATGTTAGAATAAAACTCAAATATGCTACTTTCCAAGTGTAGCACTAGCCAAATTTTGAACTAAWTTTCAAACATAGCAATCACTGCAGATATATTTCTACAGACATAATTAGCCAGATAGCCCATGATATTAAAAGATATTTCTACAAACATTAGGTACACAATATCCTGTTGTATCATTTGAACTGTGCCCTTGATTGCAAGAGAAACCACACTGACACAGTGCATAAAATGTGGATATTTGAGATAAGAAAAATCACCTATTTGTGCCTTAGTTGCATRTTTTATGAAAACAAGATTAATTACATTTTGAAATCTGAAGAATACTTTAAGTGCTAAACTCTTTAGTTAGCCATCTGGATGGATCCATCATTTTTACAAATTCTTTTTCATTAAGGTACTTAATAGAGAATAACAATATATTTATTCTTCCAAGGAATATGCAAACATATATATAAATAGAACTTTTAAATTAACCACTATGTAGTTAGCCACTATGACTATACATTTATTTGCCAGTCTTGCAYAGATACAAACACAGATATTAGGTGTTGCTGAGACCTTGGGATTTGGCTGTGATTTTCATGCTGTTTAATGAATTTCTGAATAATCCTGTCTCCTAGAGTGATTGTACTTAAAATTGAGATTTTCTCTTAAAATAAATACATCTGCCATCTATATTGCCCCCCACAAAACTCCAAATTTAAAATCATACAAAAACATTGCAAACCCTGAAATCATAAGATGAAAACTAGGAAAAAAATAAAACTCTCCACAAAATGCAGCTCTTTTTGCATAGAATTATTTGCATAGAAATAGGATRTTATCCATTTTTTACCAATTCATCTACTATAAGAAAACAAATTCTGCCTAATCTATCAACTGTACGTTCAATTTTGCTTTTCTAATTRGCATTAGCCCACCAACATTTTAGAAGGAAGCATGTTCTAACAGCACTAAAGCAGTGTGTAATTTTGTAAGCCTGGAAGTATCAGTAACTTATGCAAACTGATGTGTCTCACTGTCAATCCCCCTAGCTAGAAACCTGAGGCAAGATGACTTAAGTATCTTAATAGAAAAAAAGAAATATTTTTGTTACATGAATTTGATTGGGAAGCAAACAAACTGTTCTTTGTTCCTGTACACAGACAGTAGATAAAATCATAAAACTTTTCCAACTATGTTTACAGAGTAACACATACCTTTTGATAGCCACAAGTTCTCCTGACTCATTGCTCTTCCCCATCAACACACTGCCATAGGTGCCATCACCCAGCTGTTTCATCGTCGTGTATCGGTTCATTTTGTAAGCCCAGAATAGTCAAAAACTTTGGAAATACTAAATGCTTTCTGTTCTACTACAATATTCTGCACTCTTATTTTCTTAAATAAATTTTCTTCTTCCACACTGCCTTACATTGATGAATGTCTTCTCATAATTAAGCAGGATATTAACTGGTCTGCTCCAAATTATAGTTATTCTGAGATCCAGATACAAAGTTCAAGAAAGAAGAAGACACGGTCATTCTCATATAGTTCCTTAAAAAAAAAAAAAAAAAAAAAAAAAAAAAAAAGTAAAACTGTAATTTTACAATACTTTTAGGTAAAAGACACTGTGCTATTTGTATCTAACAATAATACCTCCCACACATCCAAGTATCCTCTAACTAGGACGCTTCAGTAAAACTATTTCCTTTAAATCCTTCAAAACACAGAAGGTGCCTGGTATAGGATTAGAGTAAGTGGGGACTGCAGAGTTACAATTACTGTCATAATTCCCTAGAGATGAAGAGGTGCGTTTAAGGCTCAGGTGAGGCTTTGGTAGAACTCCATGATTATTCTGAGATTGCAGACAGCAGCAAGTTCAAGGGCTGAGGTTTCGTATCACAGACAGAAGATGGTAAGTGCTGGAAGACATCCTGAGGATATCTAGGGCTGGGCCTGTGTTTCAAATTGTCAGCATAGGCAGGTTAGTTAGCCTTAAAAGTAAGGGAGGGAGGGAGGTGAATCAGCAGAATGAGTACCTCTATCCCAAGGCAATTCCCTGTGTTGTTCTCCAATGTGTAAACTTATTTGGAGATCTCACTAGGAAGTTCACACAGTTCTTAATCTATAGCCACAGGTAGGATTAGGCAGAGTCACAGCTGATGAGTAAAGTTTACTGTTAAATTTTGAAAGGCCAATAGAGATAAGGCTCATGTGCATTATTTAGAAGCTTTAATCTGAACTTTCACCTAGAAGAAAGTGCACGTTAAAAAAATGCCGGCCTTTCATCTTCTGTTTATCTAAACTTCAATTTGAATCCTAATCCAAACTCAAACCCTCACTCTGAGGTATAGACATTACCTGTCACCAAAATTTAAAGTATGGCATAATATTACCTATTATCAAACTCACAATATTCATCCACTTAACTACGTATGCCTTGGAAAAGTTACCAATCAGTCACAGCATTATTTATTCACCTTAGCACAAGTACTTAAATACAGATGAGTCATCTACTGCTAACCTAATGCCAGCACTGCCTTTGGCATTAGGTTAATGCATTGGATTCAGACTAATGCTTCAACCAGGTGACATCCACCCTCACCTACCACTACTGAAGATGCAAAATTCAGCTATAAACATGATTCTGTAATTCTTATAATCATGCCAGAGTTAGCTACAGGYTGGTAAATTCAGATGGTAAAAAAACTGAGTTCACTTCAATAGACTTGGTAAAATTCATCAATAAAGTTGTCCCTTTCTCCTGTGAACACAAGTTCACTGAGTGAGCAGGTGTGCTATGTAAAAAAGAAAACCTAAAATATCTGCCTAGACGATACACTGACATTTCCAGGCTGTTGCTACTTGCAACGCTGCTGCTTTGAAGAAGTAGCACCTCTTCACTCACTGTTGCTCCTGTTACCTGTGARGAATCTTCTACCTGTCAAGAATCTTGCAACAGATTACTCAAGGGACAATCTCAGTTTATATTCTCTGCACTGGACAAAACCATTTTGGCAATGAAAAACATACAGAACTTTCCATCTATCCATGAAAAAGCTATCTCTATAGTAAAAGAAAATCACTTTTTAATAGCGTATTCTKTAACACCTTATAGAACAGACTCAAAAAGAAATAGAAATCACATGCAACTAAAACAAGCCAAACSTTATTTTGAAATTTCTGATATTTACATTTTCTGTTATCAACTTTCTCAGAATTCAACTTTATATCTTACTCCCAAAAGTGTCAGCATGTACACTGGTCTTTATCACCTTGAATTATGACATTTCTCCAACGAGACTTTCTGTAATCGTCGTAAACAGATGTTCCTTTCAAACTAAAATACATGCTAACTAGTCCTATCTTGTTGCTCACCAATTGTGATGGCAAAAAAATCCCACTACCTGATGTTAAAATACATTTTAAAATACAGCACCTATAGCATGAGCAATAATATGCACACGCATTTTATGAACAGACAACCACATTTTTGTGTACTACACACTGAACTAAAACGTAACAGGATTTGAGTGTCTGCAGTGCTCTGCTTCAACATAACCAAATCTCTGCTTCACACCAGAAATATCTGAAAAATTAATATGGTTCTGGAAATGACTAAACAGATGATTTTATAGCAATGATATGGCAGGTGGTAGTCCATAAGAAACACTGAAGACTGAGAAAGCTTCGCTGACCAGAAAGTATAGAACTGCATCATAGTAGACTCTGTCCACCTTCATCCACTGATATTTGAACAAACGAAACTGCTAAATACCCATTTTTATCAGGCTGCTATGATATCAGGATCAGAGGCTTCTTTTGCTCTGCTGAAATTACAGAATATAGTGATTCAGAATACGAACAAACGCCTGAGAGTTGCATTCACCACACATACCAATCCTCTGTTCAAAAACCGACGTTCAGKTTTCTCTTCTGTGCCAGCCTTGAGAGAACAAGGGCGCAGGCTCGTTTTTCTTGGTAGCACAGGCCTCTGAAGTGGCCTTTGCCACCATACATCCTATATGACAGTATATCCCAAGCTACGTGCAGCTCTAGCATGTAAATATGCCATCAGACTCTTGGCTACCAAGCTGAAAAGAGATATCCTATTGTAAACAACAGCTTGTTTTATACTCTCAGTGACATATTACCAATTATCCCTTCACATAGGATTAAGGAAGGATTAAAGCAGGGGACAAATAGAGGGCACAATGCAGTAACTCAAGATAATCTAACTGCTTGTGTAAACTTAGAGAATCTGAGCAACTACTAAATATTTTAAGAATATTTTCACATCTACAACATTACTGGTCTTGTTTTTATAAGTAATAGCAATAATCCTAACTGATTGTAAAATGACTGGATTACAGTTTCAAATGCTGTAATAAATAACAGCAAATCATCTGCTTCTCTGCTTTACATTTATAATGCATTACCAAAGAAAATGTTTTACAGTTGAATGTTGAAGAAAAATAGTTTACCTGCCTATTAAAATACAAACTAGGATAGTTTCCCCAGTAATRCCCTGAAACAACAACAAAAAAAGTGATAGCAATGTTTCAATGAGCAAAAATTTTCCAAGTTTGCTACTCCCAAGGATGCTCAAAAAGGACACAATATCCATTTTCAAAGTCTCTAGACCCACTCCAGATCACTCTAAACTTGAATTTATGTCCATTTTAGCTCAGTGAACACCATTTCCATGACAATTTCAATCTCACACCCAACGACTTTATGTTATCGCTTAAATGCAGTTACCTCCTTTTATATATGCTATGTCGGTGAAGGGGAACCCAACCGTCCTCTTACTTGCTCAGGATGTGAAACTCGAGATTTCTCTGCCGGGAAGTTACACCTTGGTTCTCATGAATAGAAATTAGCTTTATCTCATCGATATTGAGCACTTCAGACCAGCAAGGCCTTGTCCTGTCTCACTGGAGCCAAAGCGAAAAGGATTTGCGTCCCCACACACAGTACCTCTGAGCTAAACAGACCTGCTGTTCTTAACACTCATCGCTAGGATCACAGGCCAGCTTCGGGTAGATGCAAAGAAAAATCCCCTCGACTCACTTTATCTAAGACAAGGGTAAGGGTGGAAGGACGGACACAGCCGCGGTCCCTCAGGCCGCCCCCCATGCCCGGCCCTGACGAGGGGTTAGTCCCGGGGTTCCCTCCCTCTCTCCAGCCTCCCGGCCCCGCTCCGCCTCGCGGCCGCCCACTCACTGCGGTGCCACGGGCGGTGCCAGCCAGGCGGCCGCCCCCGCCTCCGGGTCCCCGGCCGCCCCGGCGCATCCCACCGCCAACGGCCACCGCCAACGGCCACCGCCAACGGCCACCGCCAACCGCTGCCGCGCGCGCCAGGCCGCCGCGACTCGTCGCCTAGGCGACGGCGCGGGGGGGGGGCGGGACCTGGCGCTGGCCACGCCCCATAGCGGGGCGGGGCTACGTGACGTAGCCGCGGGCGGGTTGCCTTTGTGGATGGGAGGATGGAAAATCTACCCTTTTTAGGGCTGTTTTCAGGGGAGATTGTGAAAGCAGAAAGAATGAGAAGGGTCCTGAGAATATGTGAGGAAAGGTGTTCGCAATTTTGTTAAAAAGTGAACAGGGAATTCAGCAATGCCAGGAGCTTCTCATTTTGGGATAAAAAATAGTGGGAATTAGGTAATGTTGCATCTGAATGCACTGATGTGCTTGGTCKCTTCCTGTGACCTGCCGTGTACGTAACTGAAGAATTGATATAACAGCACAGGTTGTTGGTGTCTGTAAGAAAACTGGTTGCACTACCAGTCAAAACACACTATGGCAGCTAAGGGGCCCTTCCCCTTCTTTTTACATTGTAATGAATGGCTTTACAACACTTCAGTCACTTTTACTCATTTTTATAATGAATAAAAGCTTCTTTAGAAGATGYTTGGGGCAGGGTCGGACTTAAGATTCTCTGAGTCGCCTCCAGAGGAAGGTCAGAAAAATGAAAATCTGTTTCCTCTAATTATGATGGACACYAAAGTCACTAATTATACAATCATTAATTCTAATAATTATGAATAAAACTAAGACTGATCTGCAGGCTTCTAATGGGTGATGGGAGCTCCCCAAGACTGAGAAACATGATTCCTCTATGGCTGGACAGCTTAGCCAGCCCTGTATATTTTGCATATACAAATAAAGCCAAAAACATGCGGAAATGCATGTGAGGAAAAACAAAACAGAACTTATTTTCCACATATGACCTTAAAAMCTAAGTAAATCTGACGGGTTAGGCAGAATTTCTTGGGATCAGGGGCTAGGATGAAAAGGAACCCAGTATCATCAGGCCGAGGTACCTGATATTCCATAAGGGATACCCAGTTGAATTAAAATATTTTCAGAGCTGCAAACCGAGCTGAAATACCCATTTCCAGCAAGTTCAGMTCCACCAGGCAGCCTACCAGCAGCTAAACCTCCATGCCCAGTTTTGCCCCAGTGGAGCAATTTAAGTTTGTTGCGAGGTGCGGAAGGGCTTTGCTGGCAGAGACACATGTGTGAATAGCAGAGCCGGGTGCCCTGGTTTGGTTTGGCTTCCTCAGCACAATTACAGGAGCTCCTTGTTTAGTTGCTCCAGAAAAAYGACACTTTCGTGAGCTAGTACTGTAATAATAGTGTAAAAATAGCAATTTGAWAATGGAAGGCAGTGAGAGAAACATCTTGGAAAATAATGATAGTATATAGGAAACCGAGTACTGTAAAGAAAAACCTGTCTTTGAAGACAACAGAGCCATGCAAARCATTTCCTGAAGGTGTCAGCATAATACATGAGAGCGTCTTGAAAGTGCCTACTCGTAGTGTTGTTAAAGGCGATAATTATGTATGCAATGAAGCCACTTGCTCAACCATTGCCTACTTAGGATTGGCCCCCAAAATGCATATCTGTTAGGAATTCTGAAGAAAATTTTCTAGCATTATTCTTATTTATTGTAAGCAATTTATTAAAATGCCTATTGTTAATATTGATGGGGGGAAGTCTGTTTTTAGGTGCTATGTCTTCTAAAATATGTATTTTCCTATTATAAAAATAATCCCCAGTTTACAGATGGCATGATTAAAAAAAGGCATATTTAGTATATACATGTACATTTAGTATATAAGTAAAATTGTTTTGGAYGTTCAGGTTCATATCTGCTTAAGAAATCTGACGGCTCAGGCACACTGAGCTAAAATGAGAAACTATCTTAATTGCTTCTTTTTTTTTTTAATTGTTTTTCATTGTCTGGTATGGTAATTTCATGATTTTTTTAAGGTGTGTTGACAGATTAATTGGTTCTACCTCAAGTCAACTGTGTGGAACATGAAGCTATGGGAATTGGTTTTCTGGAATCCAAAGGATTCAACCATTCACAAACATTTTTACTCAAATGAAAGTACAAGAAAACAACATCTTTTTCTTCTGAAATAGAATATGTCCGTTTTCTTTATTGAAACAAAAACATCGGAGGTGGCTCCCAGGTAAAACAAAGTTCAAAAGCGGGACTTGAGAAGTGAGAAGGTACCATTACCAACACAGTTCACCCAGGGAGAATGTAGTGATTCAATAAAAGTTGATCGTATTTAGCCATGATCCATTTAGTCATGTGTTTACCTGTAAAGATGTATATTGGCCTAGTTAGGGTATCAGTATGTGCATGTGATTAGTGCCATGCTTTCCTGACTGGAAAAGAGGCTCTGGATGTCTACAAAAGCTAAAATGTCACATCACCTTCAGCATAGGTTGGTCTCTATAGGTAGGGGAGGACCCTCTGCTTTAGACAGCTTTTAAAGACTAYGATTAAATGATGCTTTGCAGTTTGAAGGCGGTGGTCAATTCTTTTAAGCTTTTATATGGGATATATAATTCTGCTGTGCTACACTTACCTCTACATCAACAGTGGGGTGAATTCTCAAAATTGATCTAGGGGTGAGACGAATGCAGTTTTTGCTCTTCTTGTAATCAATAAAACAGAGTGTCAAATGATGAGACATTGCTGTGGGCAGACAGTGCTGGGAAACAGGTAAAAGGCAGTGCTGGCTTCTCAACRGATGGACTGTTATTGCACACTTACCCCTATTCAGGTGAACAGGCTCAGTGTTTTCCCAATGGTGCTTGACAATTGGTGCCCAATACACTTGATAGCTGCAATATATTGCTAAAGACAAAGCAAAGACTTCTCTATCAGTGTTTTTCTTGTATTTTGGAAAGACCTCAAGACCTCGAAAAGAAGCTGCATGCAAGAGGTGACCTTGAAGTTGTTTTGCAAAGATAGCTCATTGACTATCTTTGCTATGTCATACTGCCCCATACTCATCACTGACTCAGCAGACTTGGATTGCAGCATTACTCAACCCTGACCCCATGCTAGACACCAGTTCTTGTCTTGTCCATCTTTGTCATGGGAAGTTCCTCTTGTTACTTTTGCTTGATTAGCTTGATTAGATAGCTAACAAATACAGAGGAGCTAGAGCTATTCTGAGACTTTGACTTTTCCAGAGAAGGTCCCCATTTCCACAGGCAGCCACGAGCTCTTAAGCTTGGAGCATTGTGGCATACTCTGCTTTCTGTTACATGCACAGAAATACCTGTCCTGCTCTCCTCTTGTGTTGCCACATAATTTCCACACATGCCTATTGCTGCTTTTCATACAGAACCACAGCACTAGCTTGCTGGACTTGAGCATGTGAGTGCTCAGTGGCCTGTCCTGTATGCCTGTTTTAGGAAACCATCATCAATCCTCCAAACAGCTTAGACCATGGGAGAGAAGTAGGTGACGACTGCCTTAATTCTCTGTGCCTGGGAAGTGTCAGTGGATTTTGGTAGATTTTGGAGTGTTGGTGGTCTAAATGTAGTAACTTACAAAAGACCTGGCATGAGCAAGTGGTCTGGGATTAGTTTTACAGACATACAGCAATTATAAGATACAGCTAAATTCTGTTACAACATGCATGAAGACAGAAGAGTTGCAGGCATCATTGCCAGTATTAATGCCAAACTACAAGATACTACAAAGCTGTAGGACCAGCACTGCAAGCCAGTCAGTTAACACCTCATTTTGTCATGAAGACATAACAGAGGTGCTGGGCTTTGCGCTTGCTGTGAACCAGGAAACTGCAGGAAACGCAACAGGCTGGAACAAAGAGACCTGGAAGCAGCAGCAAAGTTTGTAGATCTTGCAAAAGGACCTTGAAGATCACCTTTGTGCACCTGCTGCCCTACTTGTTTTACACTATTTACACTTCACTATTAATTTTCTGTTGAAAGAATCCTCTTTGCCTTTGCCCATTAAAGTTATTGACGCTTTGCACAAATACCAGGCTAAGCATCAGAAACCAGCCCCTCACAAACCACATTGTGACCAGTGGCAGCAGCTACGTTAAGGGGAATATGGGTTGTATAGACTCGATTTGGTTTCTGCTTGCATGAATGATTTTGGTCCAAATGAGTTGTGTTCCTGCATGACATTTATTCACATTGATATCATCCCACTGATCTTCATGCTGCATGTAGACTGTTGCGAGCCCATGAAGGTACCGTGTTGATAGGCATGCTCCATTTTGCATAATCCTAAGCAGAGCTCTGTATACAAACAGTAAGTGCTTCACCCTCCCTTTGCTCACATGTGATAGGCAGATATTTGCTTTATGTAGTTAGAAAATTGGAGGCAGTTACCCAGACCAGCCCTGTTCTCACTTGTTCTCAAGCAGACAGGGTCTAACGGGGTTTTTCACTCTGCCTGTTAGGAGTCAATATACCAGCTCTAGAGGTCCTGTTTCTTCTCTTTTCATTTGCATGTGGCTGTACTGATAATGACGAGGGCTACATAAGCATTTCCAAATGCATAATTCATCATAGCAAGGCAAGAAGCCCTGTGGAAGACCTGCTGCACTCCAGGTGTACTTGTTGTGCGCTCTTAAATAGTCCCATTCAACAAGTGAGATCCATTTTCATGCATGGGAATCTCCGCAGAAGCTACAAAGAAAAATCCAGRAATAGGCTCAGAAGTTGCATTCTGCTCTACTGCCTGATCAGTGTCCACTAAATAGCTTGGTTTCTACCAGCAGAGCTCAGAGCAGAATTTCTCTCAGTGTTTAAAGATGTTTTATATTCTAAACTTTGGAATCAGCAACTCTGAGCAAGCGTGTGAGCACCTTTTAGCTCACACACTTTAGCTCACACACACATATTTTAAAAGTTGAGGGAGAACTCTTACAAAAGAAGAGGAGCTCTAAATGAATTGCCAAGGCTCTCGCAGGAGCTGTGATTCTCCATCCCCAAAGGCGCCTGCGAGCTGCCTGTCTTCTCAAAGGTGAGCTCCTCAAGGGCCTTCACAACAAGGGGCAGATGGCACCGCAGGGCGATGTCCACACGATTGCACCAGTCGGGTATGTGACTTTGCCACCATAGGGCTGACAGGTACATGAGTTTAAAAACAATAACAAGTTGCCTCTTGTCTGAGGGAGGGATCCATTCAACACTTGAGCTTTTAAACTTTGTCATTAGGAGGCTGCTTTTTTTCATATTAGGAGCAGCCTGAGTATGGAGAGTATGGGGACAGATGGCACTTCATCTCCATAGGGTCCTTGTAGTTCACGTGAAGCCGGAGCCACAGGTGGCTGAGGTTTGAAAGTGCCTTTTTCCCCTGCGTGGTTTTCCCATAACAACTGGAATTTGCTGGGTGAAGATGTGTGCAGCAGGACACAATGTGGGCTAAAGAGGTGGCCCTCTCATGTCCTTGAGGCAGGACTAGAAATCCAGCTTTAATGGGATGATTAATGGCAAAGAAGCTGCCTACTTAGGGATCAGAGGGACCGTTTCTTTTCTTTTTTTTTTTTTTCCTTAGGATGCTGCTTTGCTTGATAAACACGCTTTTAAAGTCAGCTCTGCTATATAAGCCCAGAAGGAGACATTTGATTTCAACTTTCTCTTATAGAAGCTAGAATTGCTCTCGCATTCATACATTTTGGAAAGAAAGCCACATGCAGCACTAGGCTTTGCCCATCCAATGCTTTTTCTGGAAAGGCMGTATACCGATATCTTGAGCATGACACTCACACATAAAAGGGAACAAAGTGGAGAAGGGCTGCAATAACCTTCAGAGTGTTTTTATTTGTTCTAGTGCTACAGATGATACGGTGAAGTAATTGCTACTATATCTTTCCATGGTGCTTAAACAAGGGTCATGTTTATTAGAAATAAGTCCCTACTAGAAAAAGTAGTGTCTACAAAACTAGCTGCATTTTCTCAACTGGCATACAAAGTTTCAAGAGCTTGGCTTAAGAGTTAAAGCATACAGCTACAGTGACAGTTCTTGTACCAATATATTAAAAGCACAACTCTTCCCTCCCCTGTTTGTCCTCTGTCTTAACATACACAAAGCTTCAATTGTAGTGATATAATTTTTCTAAATTGGTATAAAATGAAGCAACTTACATCTTTGTTTAAAATTTTCTTTTATGATTTGGAAAGTGCTGTGAATCTCTTTACAGATATTTTGCTTGGCCTTATATTTCTCTCCCTCCCCCAGTATGCTGNCTTTCTTTAACTTAGAAGGACATAGTTTTTTTGAGTTTTATTTTATACCACAATATTTTATTTTATACCACAAATAACCCAGTATGTACTGGAGTAGAAATGAGAAATAACAGTTCTACGGACAGGCCTTGTAGTATGTATTTTGAAACTGTTTAAATTTTGGATCAGTCTTTCTAGATGGTATCTTGTTTTTTCTTATGCTGGGATATGGGTTAGTTTGCCAAACTATATTGACTGTCTGAAGCTGTTCTTTTCTGTAATCTAAAATATCTGGATGTAAATAAGAATTGCCATAGAAGTTTAGAAAGAGGCAAGAGAGGTAGACAGCAAGTACATTAAAATTCAGTGTAAGGTTGATGCTGAATTCACTTAKCCCTTTTGTAAATTCCAGCTTTAAATGCCTTGATTTTTCTCAGTGTTGGACAACCCACACCTGAAAGATRCAGCTCTGGGTTGAATTTCTGTGAATTTAACTGTGGGGCTAAATTTCAAAAGCAGACCATATGCATTTTTTTGCAGAAATATGAAAGGAAAAACAAAATGGAACAAAAGTACTCAAAGAACATGATATTTGTGTACTGTGCTTTGCACTTAAAATTTGTTTGCAGGTTTAATCATAGTATTACAAGGCTCTGTATGTTAAAGCCTGTTAGCCAGTTTACAGATTGCTGTTTTTGACTGTGAGTTTGTATCTACTAAAAGCATGCAGTAACATGCTGCTACTCAAAACATAGCAGAATTTTCCCTCATTTTTTTTAAAACATTGAGAAAGTTAAAGATGCTCATTAATYGAATAACAACAATGATAAAACAGCCTGCCAGCATGACTAAAACACTCTTTCTGCATATCCTTCTTGTTAGGCCTTGTTGTTCAGGTAGGAATCCTCTTTCCTTTCACAACACTAGACTGATTTCAAAATATTTAATTAAAACAATATGCCTTTGCTTATTTTTCTTCCCATCCAGGTGGAAAATCAGTTCAATTAGCTTATGGAAGTGGGATATTTATGTCCTTATATTTTCTTTATTTAGCTTGGGGATATTTGAGACTTTTGCTTTCTGAAGCTTTGCTTTGTTGGTTTGTCATTTCCAAGAGAACACACTGCCTAGTGTGCTTGTGCAGAGYCAAAAATACAGTCAAAGCCCAGAGGTCTGGGGGGAAAGCCCTGCACTTGGCAACTGTGTTATATTGCCTCCAAGTAAGACATCACAAGGAGCAATTCCAGACATCTAATCTTTTCTGCTTGCACTGAAAGACAAGGCAATCTGTACAGTTGATGCAGGAACTCAAAAAGGAAAGTGAAATTTCAAACTAGATTTTTCTTTTCTCACTTTAAAGAAGCCCAGTTATCAAAAAGCACCTTGTGGTATAAGTTGTTCTAGCGCGCTGTTTCCTCACTTCTCCTCATCTTCTAGGCTTGGCACGTGTGTGGTCAGTATGAATGTGTCTTCTCCAGATTGATTTAGCTGTTCTGCTGTCCTTCAGGCAACATTTACTCAGTACACACCACTGTCAAACCTTAAGGCCTGCCCTTCATGCTCCACATAGCTGTTCACCGGCAGTTGTCCATACCGATAGCTCTCCATGATCTCCGCTGGCTCAGGCTTTGCAGGAGCTGGGTCATGCTGGTAACGCAATGCTGACTTTATCATCCCAAAGTCTTCCTGAATCTTCATTCCTGAATAGATAGTGCCCGAGACGTTTTCTGCCACGTGGGTATAACTCTGAAGGTTTGTCACATCGCAGAGGTTGTCATTGTATTTCACCACAGATGGCTTGTAGGCCTGGTAGGACACTTTGGTGGTGGTGGTGATGACGGTTTGTAATGGTGGCGCAAGGGGAGAGGTGCTGTTACCGTACCTGCAGGAATACTCCCCGCTGTAGTAAGGACTGGTGTGGGTTTGGACCTGTCCATAGTCACTCCCGTCTCCACCACCAGCTTTCCCCCAGACTGGCTTCAGTCCGTGATGTCTGCCAGTGTTATCGAAGCTCTTATCTTGAACAGTCCCAGAAGGACACAGTGATCCATTCAGGCTCATAGGATCAGCGTCAATAGCAGTGCTGGTCACATCTTTGTAAAATGTTGGGTAAGAGCTGGAGCTTATGAAGGCAGGAACTCCAAACTCATAGCTGCAGGGCCGAGGCACATAGATCCTTGGGTTAGGACACTTCTGATACAGTAACAGTTGGTCCTCTTGGAAGCCAGTTGAGTCACAAGAAGCTTTGTAGAGATCAGTAGTTTGCAGGGAGGGATAAGACTGAGCTGGACCTAGAAAGCTGGCGTCAGCRATGATACCAACCTTGTCTGGGCCTTCCAGGCAGGACAGATTCTGCACATTGCCAATATAACCACTGCTGTCATGGCATCTTCCCACCTGAAAAGGAGAAGAAAACACATATCTCAGGTTTGGGAATAGATACTGCTCACATATATGTCTTCACAGTTGTGTTATTGCACGTTTCAGTGCTCACCTGCCTTTATACACTTGAGCATGACCTGGACTGACAGAAAAAATTGGGCCACAAAGCTTTGTTTTACTCTGTGACTCCTGGCACATGCTTATACTGTCTTTGTAATTAACTAAAAAATCTTATGTTACCTCTGAGTTTAGAGTTCTCTTTTTCTGGGAATGGTGAGAAGGGGACAATTGCTTCTTAACTGCACTTCTTCTTGCCTCTGCCTCCAGCTTGCTCTCTGGCCTGGGGTGATCATGCACTCCTTTAGCCTAAATTAAGATTAGCAAAGAATCATTTGCTTGCCTAAAGATACAAATAAGCTTATAATTAAATTTCAGTGTTTGCTCTTTAACATTTTATAGACCTCCCAAGATTACCAGGAGCTAGATTAATTCTGTCTTACTTTAGGAACTTGATTTCTGTAAAATACGAGTAAAATGAGTAGTGGCCACAGCACGGACCATGGCTGAGCACAATTGCATTGTAAGGAGAAGCTACAACACAGGGAAAATTAGAAGAAAAAAAAAAAGTGATAACTTGTTGATATATAGGAGTAGGAAGTGAAGTTAGTGGAGACTGCAGAGATGTGAGCTTGGGAGATGAAGGAGAAAAATGTTGTTACCTGCTATGACATACAGCTGATCAGAATAAAGAAAAAAATAGATTRTAAATTCAATATGGTCAGTTCTCCGTAGTCAAAAATCTTACTTTTCCACTAAAACAGTATAAACAGGCTTTAAGGAGACTGCACACTACCAGATGACAAATACGCTTTACTCCAATAACTGTCTATTGAAAATGACTGAAATATATACCTGGAAAGCCATCCAAAGATGCTCTCCTATTGAAAGATCTATGGGTACATGTATGCATTTTTTTTAAGAAAAATTTTTGATAAAATATTGTATGCTACATTAACCTATTCATTACAGTTGTAAGTGAACTTGAGTATAGTTCTTAATGTAAACTGGGAAACTTAACATTGCTTTTAAAAATGCTSTTGTTTTCCCAGTAGGAATGAGCTTTTAGATGAATATTAATCCCCTATTTTGATTTAAAAAATGACATTAGAAAATGTTTAGCCCTCAAGTACAGCATTTAAAGGACACCATTTGGTATAGTTTTTTAAATTTTTTTTATTTCTACTATTGTAACACAGGGAAAGAAGGTCATGAATCAGAACCCCATCACTCTCTGCTACGGAAAATTTTGACAAGAGAGAGGGAGGTAAAGTGCATTTTTACCTGGAAAAATATTGCTTTTCCATCGAGCCTCCAGAAGTTGGTGACCGGGTAGCCACTGTGTCCCCGRCAGGGAATCAGCTCTAGGGCTGCGTTGCAGTTTGGACAAGTTTTCTCTGTAAATATAGGTAAAATAACGCTGGATAAAGGCAAAAGTGTTACGTGAGAGGAACACTGAGCTCAGGAGCAATGCAATCATTGAAATCCAGATAAAAACGCCATAGTCAAGTGCAACGTAGACCACGACGATAGCAAGGAGATGGACCAGAGCTTTATGTGCGATATAAATGATAATGACTGAAAGGCTGGTAGGTCGGCCCCCCAGCTATTTAACACAGATATTGGCCAAATCTGGCGCCGAACACATTCACCGTCATGGCCACCACGCCACCCCCGTCGCGCGTGGAGGCCATGGAGGCGCCGTGTGGCGCCRCGCGGCGTGCGCGCGGGCGCTGCTCACTCTGCTGCTTCTGGCGGGCCTTGTCGCAGATGGCGGGGCGCAGGTGGAGGCGGGCGCCGCCGGGCAGCGCGCAGCGCCCCGCGCACACCACCACCCCCAGGCACGACTTCTTGAGGATGTGGCAGTTGTGGTTGTTGGTGTTGCGCATGGCCCAGCCGCTGAGGTGCCGCTGCGCGCTCTTCTCCTCGCGCGCGTAGACRAGGCGCACGTAGCCGTCCGGCCATTCCTGGAAGCTGTCGAAGTGCTTGGGCTCCTGCGGCGAGCGGAGGGGAGTATGAATAAATATAGCAGATTTTCTGAATCCGAAGTTACTTCTGAATAAATGCATATATAAAATTATTCAGAAATTTCTACAGAAGAGCCTCTGCAACTCAAGAGATTGCCACAATCCTTTCCATTTGTGCATCATTGTGATCAGTATTAACATAGTCCCTCATAACCAAGGCCTTTTCTTTGGCTGCTGCCCTGCTGTGCTGGCTGTTAAATACTCCTTGCTGCACACCTGCAGACTGAGAACTAGAAGTTTTAGCTAAGTAACAGTTTAATGTGCTTATTTATTACTGAATAAGCCTTCTGCCAAACAAACAAAAAATACCATTGGAAGTTCTCTATATAAAGAAGGGCGTTAAGAGAAAGACGTTATCAATTTAAGGCATTATCTCTGGCTTTCTGGAATTCCTTACCAGAACATAGGAGCAATGACTGAGATTGTAGACTCCCTAGGATGCTACATGTATTTCATGTGTATGTGCACAAACACATATGAACAATCCCCAGTGTGCTCAGTAAAACTGCTGGCATTTGTGGAATCAAGCTATTCTTTAAGTGCTCAATCTCTGGATAATTCAATAATAAACTCTAAGATAAAAAAAAAAGAAAAAGAAAAAAAAAGATGCCAAATAAAAACATATATATTTAGGGCTCACTTAAAAATCAATGCAATGTTCACTGGTGATACAAAGTATTAATCAGGCACAGCAGCAAACTGATGAAGTAGATAGATGCCTTGAAATATGTTATCAGGAAACAGAAGAATTATTCCACCTTAGCACTTTTGGGGGAACAAGGGAGAAAGAAACCAGCCAAACAACAGTATTAAAGATTGTTTTTAGGAGTTCATATACAGCTTGCCAAAATTATGTATTAAATCCACATTTTTATTACAAGTTATTCTATCAAAATTATTGGTCAGCTTTGAAATTTCTGCAATTTTATTTAAAAGGCAAGAGATTTTGAAAGGCAAGAGCCRAGCTTTGCAGTAAGCAAGGCTGAAGCTCCAGATCTGGAGCATTAACTCAGCTGGAGGAAAGATAAACCCACCAGCAGCTGGACCGCGCTGCTCCCTTCACAGGTGATCTTCTTTTTTCCTCCTGCTTCAAACTAAAACACCTGCATCCCATGAAAGTTTCCCGCAGACGCCAGAGACACGGCCAGCTGCCTGGAGACCAAATCCTGGGAAGCAGGGAGCAGGTAGGAGGTGCCCCCATCCCAGCACCCGCTGCAGCGCGGGAAGAGCTGCGCAAAGGGCGATTCCAGCGCGGTGACAAAACCCCCGAGCCCTCGCACTTGTGGGGCAGCCCCACCGCCGCCCTCCCGCCCGGTACCTGCGGCAGCTGCGGGTCGTTGATGTCCCAGGTGAGCTTCATGTCGGGCGCAGCCGCCGCCGCTGCCTCCCGCTTTTATTCCCGCGGGCCCCCCCGCGTGTCCGCGCACCGCGCGTGGCGGCCGAGCGGGACGCGGCCGCAGAGGCGCCGCCTCCCCGCGCTCAGAGCCCGCGCGAACTCGGGTCACTGATGGGCCGGCTCCAAAGCAGCGCTCGGCCTCTAAGGGAGTCTTCTGAGGCGCTAAARCTAAGAGTGTCCGCGAATCCCGCGCTTTTCCTGTTTTGGAGCGTTTTCTCCCCTGGCCGCTGTGCCAAATACGTTAAAAAGATCGACAAGAGCCACTGTCGTACGAACAGTATTTCTTTTCACCGAAAACAAACGGGTTTTTAGGAAAACGGCTGATCCGTCTTCTCGAAAGGGATGTGTGTGGGAAGGTGTAAAAAAGTTAGGTCTTAGAACAAAAAAAAAGTCAAAAGCTGCGAAGTGATGAAGCCAGAGCCGCTAAATACCCCCAGCTCGTGCAAGCCTTAAACGAGCTTCCCCCGCCTTTTATTCCTCTCTGAAATTTTCCCAAACCTTCATCTTGATTAAAGGGAAAAAAAAAAAAAAAAGCAGCTCTCTTTATGACTTTATTTTCAAAATAAATGTAAAAACAAACCCCAAACAATCAAAACCGAGAAGCGCCTGCAGACAGCGGCCGCCGCTGGCGGGGGGTGGCTGGGAAAGGGCCCCCCCGAGGAGCCGGCTGCTCTGCCGCGGCCCTGGGCTCGGCCGAGGCGGGGGCGGCGGCASCTGGGCGCGGGTTAAACGCCCCTCGCGCAGGTGAGGCTGATCCGCCCGTTTTCTGCTGCGGGCTCCGGAGCAGCAGCCGGGGATCGTCCCCTGCAGCCCGCGAGGTAGGCTCGCCTGCCTTGTTATCCCCGTTAAAGATAATTAAATAAACAAATAAAGTAGCGGGAACTTGAATAAGCTTTTAAAGCCGATGTGTAATGTATGGAAGGTTCATTATTATCTTTACTTTTGTATTATTCGGGAGCTGCCGGTTTGACCTTGTCACCAGCCCCTTGTGTTTGTGCACCCGCCGGCGCTGGTGATTCCCGGGATAGCCGGTGCTTTCCCAGCTCCTGCGGCGGGATGGGGTGGCGCCGGGACCCCCGCCCCGGGCCCTGGGAAGGCAGCGCGGGGCCCGGATCGGCCCGTCGGGTCCGCGGAACCCCGCGGAGGAGCAAGCGGCTCCCGAGCTGGAAAAAAGGCTTCCCTTGTGGTTTTCGCCTTGTATTTGCTCCTTTCAAGGGAAGAAGAAAGCGAAGAATGGAAGAAGGAGGTAAATGACGCCATGGCTACCAGAGCGGAAGACTATGTAAATATTCTTTTAATAATAATCTTCAGGTTTAGCTTTTATCCTACAAATATTTGATGTGCGATTGCCTGGGGATCTATTTCTATCAGGGGGTCAAACAGCTAATGCATTTAACTTTCAATGCAACCATAGGAATGGAATGGAGCAATCGACTTAAGGGTTATGTCTGTGTCTTTGTTTGTTTGTTTGTTTTTTAAGCACATATTTGAAAGATATCTTCTTAAATAAAAACTACAAGACCTAGAATCCTTATTCTATATGAATATACATATATTCATATAACAGATACAGTAGAAAAATAGAAAAGCACATTAAGACAAACAAGAAAGCTTGCCTTTTATTATTATTGTTTTTAAATAATGTTAAACAAGTTGTTTAACATTATTTAAACAAATTTAAATAATGTAAACAAATCTTTCATGAAAGATACTGCAACAAATCAGCTGCCCACCCATTTTAATCTCCGGTGTGATCGCTCTAACACTTGTTTGCTCCCGTCCCCACAGCTTGAGTCACTTCTTACTGATGCTTTTAAGGGGAAGGGATTTCAGAAAATCAGCGAACTGCTTCAAGAGAAAGAAATTGAGCCTCTCCAAAGATACAGCAAATCTCTCCTTAACCAGCTCGATAAAGCAGTGAAAAAGGCGAGTACCCTGATTTGTTGCAACCGTCTTAGTGCCCCATGGTGATAACCGCCCATTGGGCAGCCCTGCTAATGAAGTGGGGCAAAATATATTTTTGCAGGAACTGGACAAGAACGAATTCCAGAATGTCTCACTGTTGTTGAAGTGCATTCAGCTCTACTTGAAAAGTGATCTCCAGGAGGGAGAAAGCCTATTTATTGAGCAAGGACTGGTACAAAAGATGAGTATGATAAGTCAATTGGACTTAGTGCTTGTGGTGTTTTTGTTTTTAAGCTGCCAAAGGAAGCAAGCAGAGGCTGAGTTTAAATGAGTTCTGTCTGTGAAAGAGCATAAGTTTTCTGAATGTGTTTTAAGTGCTGTGGCAAAAATACCAAACTTCTCATTAATTTTATTACTATAATTATATGCATTTGCAATTTTATAAGGTAACATAGCCTTTCTGAGGGTCTCTTAATAAAACACATTTAATCTGCAGTGGTGTTCTGTCTTCTTGTTGCTACTCTACTGATTTCAGTTGATATTGGTTGTAGTAGAGAAATGCACCTGTGTCTAAGATGAGGATAATACTTGGATCTCACCAAGGGAAGAGCAGTGAGCGTGGGCTCTGTCAGTAGCCCTGTGTCAAGGAGTCCTTGGTCCTCTGTGTTAGTGCTAAATGTGGTTTTTCAGGGACACTGCTCAAAACCCCTGTGGGGGAGCAGAATAATCTGCCATGCAAAAGGCCATGCAAAAAGTTGTCAAATCTCTTAAACTTGCTTGCCCTTTTAATTGCCTTCCTCAAGCAAGCTCTGGCTGCTGCGATGGTGCCAGTGATGATGCCCCTTGCACCAAAGAGGTGCTAAAGAGCAGGGAGGAGGAAGGGCTGCTGCCTGGGTGCAGGGTTGGGGGCTTTGCCCACTGCTGGCAGCCTGTGAGCCCCGTGGCACCTTCAGCACAGTATGAGGCTGCCCAAGCTGGGGACTGAGACACCTCATGTGTCTCCATGAGGTGTGCTGAAGGTAGATTTAGTTTCAGCATTATTATTAAGAACTTGCCTTTTTGGCAGGTTTTTAACCAATTCTTTCAATTTTCACATGGTATCTTGGTTTGAAAGAGCAAGAGGTTCCATGATCCTCGCAGACCCAAATGAAAATAAGGAATTGATGATACTTCTTGAAGACTTCTTTGATTGTGCCCTGGTACGTATGTGTTTTGGAAGGTAGAAGAGTTGTCTTTGCTGTATATTCACAAGTCCCTGTTTAAAACCCAGGTAACTTAAGCTGGTGTTTCCGAGGCTCATGTGAATATTCTTATGCTGAGGTGGCTCTGGGTATTTTTTCCTTATGTCATTCAAACCCACTAATTAACTCCTAAAGAATGATCTGAAAAGCTTATTGTTTTCTCTAAGGTTTCTTTTTGAGATAGGTGCTGGATGCTTAGTGACAGTAGATTTGCAAAAGGAGGGAAACTTTTAGCTTTTTTCTCCATACTACTAAGAAATATAATTGTCCCCAGTGCTTTTTCAGATGTCAACGTCGATATATCGTCTAGTACCATAGTATGTAAAAGAAAAGGACATATATTTTTAGAGGCACATATATATATACTAAAAATAATGAAATGATACCATGATGTGGGTTTCTGAGGAATCTGAGGGTGCTCTGCTCTGGTGCTACAGAAATCGTGGAGGTGGGTTGGATGCTTTGCTTCTTTTGTGCTCCCTGCATAGAGACAACCTGTATGAGGGGGTCCCTTTATGCAATGTACCTGCATCAAGGGGTACAGCCACCCATACCTTGGTGTCTTCCAATTTTAGCCTCAGAAAGGTGAGATGTTAGGGCATAATCACAGAAGCACTTTGAGAGCTGTTGTGTTTGGGGTTGCTTTGTTAACAAAGATTTCATTTACCTTTTTCTTTAGGTGATTTGCAAATGCAGTGATGAAGGTCAGTGTGTATATTTGCATTTATTTATGTTTTTTAAATATCCCCCCGTAGCCAAAATTGCTTAATTCTGCATGACCTCTGTTCCCTTCTTCTCTCTCTCCTGCTCCCCAGCTCCTCTTTCTCCCTGCAAAATATATGTGTATATATACAAAAATGTATATATATACATTTTTCCTTTTCACTTGCTTGTTTTAAATATGCTGGAGATCTCTAGCTGTAATACCTTAGCTCTATTGCCAGCATTGAGCGTGTCAGTCAGAGCAAGCAGTAGTTCTGAATGAGCCTCACACACAGGCAGTGTGCTCTTGCACATCTCCTTGTTGTGGCTTCAAATATTATTTTCTCACTAAAGGCAGCYGCCTCTGTGGAGTAACTGGGTACTTCTAGTCTGTCATGGAGCCACCAAGGCTCAGCAAGGTCTTGCTAGCAAACGTGACTACAACTTAAGCTAACCTGATTTAGGGATCTGCCTGTGTGCCTTGGGGAACTTGTTGCATTGGCGATGCTGCTGCCTTGCAGTGCTTGTTGTGTGGCAAGACRGGCTGTGACCCCATCTGCTTGTGTGGCTGGTGAGGCTGCAAAAGAAAACATCAATTTCCCCTTTCTGTATAGGATGAGACTGTTAGAGATTTGTCTGAATACGTGTGTGGGATATTTTCACTTCAGCAACCAAGTGTTGTTGCTTCAGCCGTTGTCTTTTGTATGTGAACAAATTCATCGCTCGCTGCCGCCTTTCTAAACTGTTCCCCCAGGGAAGAAAAAGGTGGTGAATTTATTTCTACCTGAACTGGGGCATCTTGTGACAGAAGCAAATATTTGCTGTGCCCTGCGGCAGGAGGTAAGAGTTATGGCAGAGAAAGAATATGTAAATTTGCACAGGCATGCAAGTGTGCATAAATAAAAATAAATAAATTAAAAAAACCCCATGGAATATATCTTATTGACTTCTTTCCCTTTCCATTCCGTCCCCTTCCTCTGGGTGTCTGTGTGCACTGCGGGGTGATAAAAAGGCTTTGAGGACTCTCAACTCAATACTGGACAGCGTACCGCGGGAGGAGAGGAAGAAATTCCCTCTCTCCGAAGAGATGTGCTTGCTCACGTAAGTGTTCCCACCGGGGATTGCCGCTGGGAGGATGCGCTTGGCTGTGCGGAGCCACCGGCTTTCCGCTYTTCCCATCGCAGTGTCTGCTCAGATGGGCAGCGCGGCTCCGTCCTGCAGGCACGGATGAAGCACAGGCTCTTGTGGTTGTGTTTTACACCTAATGCCTCCTGCCAGTGCTTCCATCTGCCTCGTTAACGAGAATGGCTGTAGTGTTTTGTTTCCGCTTTAATTCATTGCCTTGTGTCCTTTCAGGAAAGATCTTGCCAAAACTATTCTGGATGTTGGTGGTAAGATGTGCTCAGTGGTTATTTTTATGAAGCTAGGRTTCTCTACCATTGCTTTATTTGCTTATTTTTTATGGATGACTTATAATTGAAAGAGCTTCTGTTCAGAGGCTTGATTTCTCTGGGAAGAAAATGGGATAATATTTTAAAAGCCTGCTTTAAAATTGTTAGATATAACAATCTTTCAATTCTTTCCATTTAATATTAATAATAAAAAAAAAAACTCAACTGTAATATGATAGAAAGGTAATTGGCTAATTATGTCAGCATTATGTATGTGCTTAAAATGAACAACAAGCATACTTTTTAAAACCAAATTTTACTTGATGGGGATAAACTGCAGTCAATAGGGCTTTATTGCCTTTTAAGACGGATGTTAGGAGATTCTGTTTTTGATTTATTTTTCCTCCCCTCTCCTAGCAAGAACACTTTCTGACTGGTTATATTGTGATACATGAAAAATGACTTAATCTAAGTGAGAAACTGTGTTAAACACACATTCTCCAATGGTTGGAATAAACTTTCAGCTATTACTCTCTACTATAACACAGCATTGTTTTCCTAGGTGAAATGGAAGGGAGATGAATAACATTTTTTTTTTAATATGAAGTATATTAATAATAGCAAGACCAATTTTCTGTTATAGTGGAGGAATTCTGTTTTTTATGAAGTTTTATTCTTTTCTTATGTTTGCCATCTAGACTATGACCTTCAGGTTGCCCTTTCAGAAGCACTTTGTAGGTTAATGACAAAAAAATGGAGGGATGACCTTGTTCACCACTGGTTTGAAGATAATTATCTTGCTGAAGCTTTCAAAGAGATCAAGGATAGAGAATTTGAGACGGTAGGGGTCTTTATTTTGATAACAACATGCTTGACAACGYTGCATAGGGGCTAGTGTTGTTTGAGTTCAACAAGGATGTCCTTGCAAGAAGTTCTTAGAAAACTGATTTTATAAACATAAGAAGTTTATTTGAAGGTGGCAGGGGGATTGTTTTTTAAACTAGCAAATATAAACTGGCATATGGTCGAAATAGATCTTATTTCTAAGATATTCAACTTCTAAAGTATGTATATATGTATGTGTGTATTATATTTTTGTGACTTCAGTCTGGATTGCTTTTGGCATTGTACTATTTAAAAGCTTATAATTGGAGTGGAGATGTGCCTCCAGTAAAATGAAAGTTTGCAAAGGAAATGTAAAATGATTTATTAATAAGATGTAATTTGTCTTGAAGGACTGCAGAAAATTTCTTAATCAACTCAATGAAAGGCTTAGGGATGAAAGAAGGTAAGCTGTGAACCAAGAATCTAAATTAATGTCGTCATTATTGCAACCAAACAGAAACAGAGGGAAAAGTATGACTGTAGACTAATTTGGGTCATATATACCACAAAATAATTTTCATCATGTATGTGAATAGTTCTTTTAAATATTTAGTAGAGATTCTTTGGTAGTAAAAATAACAAATCAAGTAAAATTACCAAAACCAAGGCGTTATTAAATGACTAAAACCACATGTTTTATAAGCTTCTCTATGCCTAGTTTGCCTCTAGAAAGTTGTTAACTTTTTAACAATAAGGTTAACAACATACATTCAGAATTTTAGCTTTCACACATTCARCATCAGAGTCTGAATTTGTCATGTGCAAGTTTGCTTTTTTTTTCAGAGTCTATTCCTTTCCTTGCATATCTGCTTTTGCTGACATGAATGAGGTAATATTTCTTACTGCTGTGGCACATCCCTTGCAGTATGACCACTGTTAACATGGTTAACTGGTGTGGTGTATGGGTCCTTTTCCTTCCCATTTTCTTTTCATAAAAGAACTACATTTTCTTCAGTGTGAATATAACTTTCTCTTCTAGTTTGAAAACTTGCTTAATTAGCAGCAAACTAATGGCTGCTAAGAATTTCCAATTCCAATAAAATCTTTCCTTTTTTATTGGCCCAACAATAGAAGCAGTCCTACTCCTAGTGATAAAGGAAGAGAGATCTTTTAAGAAGAAGCAGGGCAGAGGAAAGCCAGTTCCTCTGTAAGAGCTACTCGCAACCTGTCCCAGAATAAGATCAGCTTTTGAATAAAGGTTGCATTTGTGGCACCTCGTTTCTGACAGCTGTTTCCAAAGCCATGTCACCAGAGAGCTTTGCCGCAAGCTGGTTCCAGCACTGCTGTCTAATAGAAGTGCTCATAAATGCAGAAAGCCTTTAAGAGTCTTCCCTGAGCCAACATACAAATGTTTGCTTGAATTATTTTCTTCTTGTGGCTGATGCGTAGTCATGTTCTCACTYAGCTGGTGTGGTTGAGGGTCAGCAGTAGTTGGGCAACACGTAGTTTGAGCCCAGCTTTAGTTCTATGTAGTGTGCATAGGGAAACTTGTTGCAGCTTAATGCTGTAACGAAGATGAGTAATGAGAGAGCAGCTCCCAAGTAAGTGTTTTTTTTTTTTTTCTTTCTTTTTTTTCTTTTTTTTTCCCCTGGAAGTGTCAGCATGTCAGCAGTGGCTATTGTGTCCCTAGGTGAAGAAGCCCTCGGACGAGAAGCTGGAGGAATTCTGGATAGATTTTTTTTTTTTTTTTCTTTCTTTTTTTTCTTTTTTTTTCCCCTGGAAGTGTCAGCATGTCAGCAGTGGCTATTGTGTCCCTAGGTGAAGAAGCCCTCGGACGAGAAGCTGGAGGAATTCTGGATAGATTTCAACGCTGGCAGCCACAGYGTGACCTTCTATGTGGACAGTAGTGAGGTAGGAGCAAAGTCCAGTTGGGCTTTGGTTAAATTAATGCAGCTGCTGCTCGCTCAGCCCTTGTGTTGCGGCTATTTTGTTTTTATAGGGTGCTCTGTGGGACTCTGTGAGGCTGTCAAAAGAAGAAGTTAGTAGTTACAGCCTGAAGGGTAAGGTGATGCAGCTGGCATTGGCCTCTGTCCAGTTCCACTTTTATGTGATGCAAAGGGACGATTACAAAATGCATCATCACCAAGAATCTCTTSGGCAGCTTCCCTTCTGCCAGTCACGTGCTCTTGATGTTCACCTTGTACTAGCTCTGCTTGTTGGACAGGTCTTCCTGTGGTCCTGTGCAGTGTGCTAGCCCTGGCAGGAAGGAAAAGGCAGAAAGTGCCTGCTGCACTAGGGAGCTGGAGCTGCTTGGGTCTGGCCATCGCCATGTGTGGGACGAAGGCCCTGGCAGCACTGGAGGAAAGTGGAAAGGGGCAGGAGGTGAGAGCACACAGCTCTCACAGCTGGGTTGGCTCAGCATGAGAAAGTGCAAGCTCTGTAGCCCCAAAGAGAGGGTCCGTCTCATCTTCAGCTGAACTCAACATGTCCATCAGGACAGCAGCTGCTGAGGACAGTTGTTTTTTAACACACTGAACTCCACAGTGTAACACAACTTCCAAGGCTCGTGCCAGTTTGGCTTTATGCAACACGGTATAAATCAATGTGCTGACAGAAACAGCACTATTTTGGTAGTAACAAGGGAGTGATCTTAACCACCAACTGTCCTTGTACCATTTGGCATGCAACTATGCTGAAAATGGCTTCACTGATGCCCTCTCACGCTGGTTGAGCAGTGGCTTCAGAGTACTGATAGTAAAAACCCCTATTAGTTGCTTTGGGTCCTACAGAGATTTCCATTCTGGATGCTGTCCTAGGAGTAGTTTCAGTACTTGAAAACTGAAGAACARCAGCCAAATAACAATTTAATTTGCGTTGGGCTGAAAAAGCAATGAATGCTTTTTGGATGCCATCAAGCTTCTATTCATGTAGGTGACTTTCTTCCACATTGCATCCTGTGATGGAGGAATCATGAGAAAGGAAGACTTTGATGTGCTGTAGAAAACACAGGAAATTTGCACGTCACAGACCGCAGCAGCAGTCCTGATATGGGGGCTCTGCAGTCTGCCATGGAGGGGAGTTGTAGCTAACCTTAAGAGCCAAGTTTACCAGGGCAAATTGAGGATTTAAGTTATGGATTGGCAGGAAACAGCATAATCACCTGAACCTAACAAGGAAGAAATGGATGAGTGGCGTAGTTACTAGAAATATAAAAGAGCTTGTCTTTAAGTTTAAAAACAAAACTCTACCTAAATCTTTTTGGGRTAATTACCTGAATGCTTTGCTTTGTAAATGATTTAACTGCATTTTCTTTTTTAACCCAGAGGAGAATGGAGAAAAGACTGTTAAAATTTACATGAAGGTTCCTGTTATTATCAACAAAAATGAAGTAACAAAAATCAGAATATCCTTTACTGACAAGCTGGAAATCTTAGATGTACTCAAAAAAGTACTGGGAAATGAAAAAATGATGGTAAGATCTTGGTATGAGTGTGGTTTGGGTTTTTTTTTGGGGTTTTTTTTTTTTGTTTGTTTGTTTTTTGCCCCACTGTGTATTAAGTAAAATATGACTTAAAAAAAAAATCAGTGGATTTTAATTTTTATATTTATGATGTTAGTTGTGCCAATATGTAGCTGGCTTTATTGGATAAAAGATTCTGCTTTTTGAAGTTAGTTTTCATATGAGATTACTTCACACCAACAGATAAATGTGGCTGAAGAGGAGCTTGCCTGTACTGGGGAGCAAACCAAGCAGAACGAAGCAGGTGTGTTTTTTTTTCTTTTCTTTTCTTTTTTTTTTAATAGTTATGGCATTTAAATTGCTCAGATTTAAGATGGGTGCCTTCATTCTTATGCAGTAGTTTGCCATTAGCCATATTTAAAGGGGGATAAAGAGACAAAACTGAAGGAAAACGAACAAAAACCCAAGCCACTCCTTGGTCTTCTGCTGTTCCTGTCTTGGGGGTGGCACTGAGTGTCCTTGCCCTGGTGAGGCTGGCCGTCAGCTGTGGAGCTGCACGTGCAGCAGCCCCTCTCAGCAAGCTGGATCAGCTCGCTGCTGGCTAACCTGGAAAGGCAAATCTTGATGGCCAGCTACCCGTGCAAACAAGCATGCAGAAGCTGCCCCATCTGCAATTGCTGTGTGTCTCCTTGCTTTCTCCCAGTGCTACTCCTGATGTAGGGGTGCTGTGGGGCAGCTTGTGGGAGGCTCCCCAAGGGAGATGATGTTTGCCTCAATATACCTGTGACAGCAGTCTTGCCAAGAACACCAGTCCTCTGGTGGATCAATGCTTGCATTTGCAACTATAGTGGAAATCCTCCTGATTCTGGGAGCTTAGGAGAAAGTAGGAAAGGAAGAATTTCTGCTTCATCCACAACCACGAAGCACTTGCAGAGGTACAAGATTGCACCTCTACTCAGAGCAGTCCTGGAGCAGGAATGATTGGAAGGTAACGTGTTGCCAACGAAGCACTTCTTGAAGTGCCTAGCTGAGATGCAGTTTAGGGAAAAAGAGATGGTGTAAGGTCCTGCTAGTCCTTTGATTTAGTGGGGTGTAAATGACCTTTTCATGCATTCTGGAGCAAAGAATTGAGGTAACGACAATGATAAATTCATACATCTTCATACACTATGTGGGGCTATTATGGGGTGTCTTCAAGATGCCATTTATCTAGCATTGCAAATCTGCACTCGGTAGTCTAGAAATATTTTACGTTTTTGTTTTATTAAATGTGATCATGAGGTATTTGTCCCTATTAGATCTACTGCTTTGCTTCTATATATGTGCTTAAAATGGAAAAGTCCATGTATTCCATTTTGGCAGAGACATTCTCATGAAGGTTGTTGTTCTGCAGTAATACTTGAGTCCGGTAACGTCCGGAAGAAGAGAAATCCTTCCAACTCTGAAAACACAGACTCCTTCTCAGACCTCCTAGCCTCTCAGCGCAGTGAGCAGTTAACAGACACAGTCACAGTATGTGTTTTGTGAATTGTGAAACAAAAGTTTTGCCCACTCCCATTCAATCTCTGTTCTGCCTTTTAAAATAGGTATAGTTAAAACTTTCTTTAAAAATAAAAATCATTTGTATTCAGCTCTGACAAAGCCTTCTCAATCAGTGAGGAGTCAGCTTCCTAGCTACTTGCTCCCAGAGCTACAAATCTCGCAAACTGTTTTAAAGAGAGGAGAAAAATGTGCCTTTCATCAGAGTGAGAAACTGATCTTGTATAAATATACATGTATGTGTGTATTCATAGGCATGTGTGCGCATACTTACCTATTACGTATAGCTAATGAAAGATATATCGTCCAGCTTTTGCCACAGGCCAGCTCTGAAAATCTTTCTCTATATCATTTAACTGTTTTTATTGATTGCGTCTTCATGTCTCCAAGCAGAAAACGGTCACCCCAGTCACCATGATTGAAGTGAGCCAGCAGACCGACATGGAGGATATAAACCCAGGCCCAGGTCTGGCCTGTCCCTTTTTGGTTCCTTAAGCTTGATCCACTTAGGTGTTCCCTGGGTGAAGCTCTGGGAAGGTTCCACTTTTGCAGACCTTCCCCAGGAAATAGTCAAAGAGTTTCCAGAAGGTGAAGCTGTCATTTCTTTGCCTCCCTCAGCAGAAAAACCCAAAGCTTCCTCTCCAAGGATGAAAGTTAAGACCAGGTAAATGTCTTGAAGACAAAAAATTGCAAATCCTTCTTTCCATTCTCTCTACCAACCCATTCCTTCCCCCACCCTCCTGCCTGAAGTTTTAATGTATGTGACTTTGATGATTGCCCTATCAATTAGTAAATAATAATAATAAAACGCACTCCATTTTGCTACCCTGACTTGTAGGGAGATTTGCCTGATGTTTCAGCACTTCAGAGTTAGTCAGTAGTCATGTTAGTTACAAGTTGAGCTGCCAGCTTGGTGTGATCTTTCCTTTTTGTCCACTATTTAGTCCCAGAAAAAAATGAACCTATTACAGAGTCTAATTTCAGCAGTGTACTTGGAGATCCCATAATGTATATCTGTTTGTAAATAGCAGTCCTGATTTCTGTGTACTGTTGTATGAATTTGAGTCTATCTTGGCATTAGTGCTATCATTTTTCAGAGCAATGTGAGATGGCAGTTCTTTTAATCAACTAGCCTGGGTCTGCATAGAGATGCTTACTGGCCTCTCTTCCTTATGTACCTCTTAAGCTGCTACTTGGATACCACTAGGCTTGCTAGTACAAGTCCTTTTAATCTTAATATTTCATCAAGTGCCTGCCTGGATTTATGTTCATCTGATGTGGTTGGTTGTCTCTAGTGAGAAGCCCTTAGAAGAAGAGACCATAGAGGTGTCAACACCAAAGGTATGTGTGTCTTGGGATCGCTTGAGGGAAGAAGTCTTTTGCAAGGCATTGGTGTCCTCATGGTGTTGCAGGAGTTGACTGTGCTGTATTGACCCATTCCTACATGAGTGGTGGCCTGAGCAAATGTAATGCTATGTGGAGCAATGACTGTGGTCCACCTACGATCCCACGAGGTCAAAGCTAGTAATTCAAGTGCAGTTGTATTTCCTCAGTATATAATCAATGTTGTGCATGGGACACAGGATGCATTGGTAACTGGACCAGCTCCATACATGACAAGCTTGGGTTTTGCAAGATTTGGGTGCAATCTGTAAGAGCAAAGAGTTGCTTCTTGAAGAGAAGCAGGTCTTGGAAGTACCCAGCTGTGCTGATTCACTTTTGACCTGATCTCTGATGATCCTCCCGGGCTGAATCTCTCTCTCTGCTCCTGGCATGGGACGTTGCAACTTGGATAAACTAGCATTTACTTACATTACTTAGCCCATCTTAGCTTGAGGTCCAGGAACTTCTTTCTTTCTTTGAAGGTTGATGCCAGAAAAAAGAGAAACAGAAAAGCAAGTTTGGTCAAGGAGAAGAAGACTGAAGCCAGGTATGCTATTAAAAGCGCTCATGGTGTGATCTGAGTACAACAGCTATAGCCAGTTTCTTGCTATGGAAAAAAAAATAATAATAGTATTTGTTTTCCAAAGGTTGCCTTTGGATATGATCTTGCAAGATACGTCTGTTATCTGACAGAGTTTCGAATGTTTTGTTTTACCGAGGGGTCCCAGGTGGGGAGAGAGAGAGTTTAGATTAATTTTGGATTGATCACGGATGAGAAAAGAATTGATGTAGAACATCATTACTACAAGTTTTACGCCTTCAGATCAAATATCTCATGTGCTTAGTAGAGTGTGCACAGGAGTGGCAGAGATTAGAGGAGAAGGGTGTCTTAGTTCAGTCATTCTGCTCCCTCTAGTGTCTTACCTAAAGATGTACATTTCTTCTTTCCTTTAGGAAACTTTCATGAGAAACGAGACTAGTTCTTTATCTTTCTTCTCCTGTTAATAAAAGGAGAGCATAACGTATGCTGAATGTAAATAATAGAAATTTGGAGAAAGAAAGGAATAACTTTTTTTGAAAGGCATGAAAACAAAATCCACTTGCTTACAGAGAACTGGTTAGAGAGCAACCATTGAATGCTACCACTTTCAGAAATGAGTTAAATGGAATTTTCTCTTCTTAAAGACTTCTGAAGTTATCTTTTAAGGCATTTGTGATTTCTTCCTACCGCATCCTGTTGTTATTAATTTGTATGCTATGTAATCTTTCATAAGTGGACTTGGTTGTGTCTTCTGAATGCTTGCCTGAAAATAAAAAGTTACATTTGAAGTAAGGTGTGAGAATGAAGACAATAATAGAGGCTAAGTAGGAAAGGAACAAGTATTTTTTTTTTTTTTTTAGCTTAAACTGTAGGTATATACATCTTTAAGTGTTCACTGTATAGCAAAGTTTATCAATACTAAAAGCAGTATTGATAAGCAGTCCTGATCCCCCATTCCTACTGAGTGTTCTCGATGAAATTTGATAGGCTGGCTGTGCTGATATACTGCTCTTCCATGTTTCCTCCTAGCAGGAAGGATTCCTTTGACTTTGAAAACTCGGACTCTTCAAGTCATGAAAAGGTAAAATTGAGGCAGAACGTGTCCTGAGTAGTGTTAAGGAGCAGGTTATGTTGCTTACTGCAGAAATGCAATGAGAGGGATGTGTTGCTGTAGCAAATGTATGTGAAATAATCAGACTGTATGTGTACTGAGATAATTTTTTTTTTTCCCAGGAAAAATAGGAATTTGAGATTTTTTTCAGCCTCTTTCTAATACTGGGGCAACTGGTGCTTCCTTTTAAATAAGTGCTGAACTGGCCACCCCAAATTCCTGCTGTAGGGCTGAGCATCACCAGGCGTCAGCACCACCCCCGGGTGTCAGAGTAAAAGCCTGCTTCGTGGCGTGCTTAGTAGGGTTGGAACAGTCCTGTCCCAAATCTGCCTATGTCTGGTGCACCGTATCTATAGTGTGCTTGCACTAGTGGTGCTATCATTGCTTAAATGAGATCTTTCTTTAACATTGCCAAATAAAAATAAAGGGTGAATAAAGTAGAACTGTTTACGCCAACAAGTGTTTGTCAGTTGTTATTTTTGACATTATTTCAATCAACAAATCCCTTCAATTAAAAAGGAAATCAGACTGCTTATAATGCATTCCTAGCCCTTCCTCACGTGTTTTAATTTTGTAGATTGCTCTGTGGGGTCTTTGAATTTTGAGGCAAAAAAATATGCTTCTGTTTCAGGTTGCTGAAGCAAAAGAAAAGATCCTTGGACAGAAACTTTCTTCACAAAAGCAGAGGTACAGAATCATACGTACATTGTTTATGAATCTCCTGACCTGATTTAAGAATCCATTACCTTGGTTATCTTTCTTGATCCTAACTTAAAATAGTTTGTGATAGTTCTAATAAAACAATTCCTGGCTTAGCTGTCCCAGTAGATGTTATCAATACTAAAGTTTTGTCTATGTGACAGCCACGACAGAGAAAAATCACTTTAACACCAGTAAGACCTGACTTCCAAAAATGTCTACATTTATATATATATATATATATATATATATATATTTACCTATATAGCTGATTTACCTTTTGAAAAATGCTCAAATACTCTGCATGTCCTTTGCCTTCTCCAGTTACAAAAAAGTTGCCAGGAATTTATCACTTCTAAGTAGGTAGCCTGATCTCTTGTTGCTGCTAAGCTCCAGGTATCCCTGGAATATTATATTTCAAAACTAGTCAAAGAAACACTTGGCTAACTGCTACATGACAATAACCTGGACATTCTGTTGATGTATCTCTCAAAGGCCCCTTCTGCTGGTATTTGGCTTCATCTCCCTTATACCACTGCCCCATGCTTTTATGCCTTCTGTGTAATTGCAATGAATTATCATACCTTCCATTAGTCTAAATTATCTTATGTCTCGATGAGTTACTTTGCAGGGGTCATGAAACAGAAGAGAAGAGTCAGGACTCGAGTAAGCTCCAGAAACGACGGGTAGGTGGGATGTCGTTTTTCCATCCCTAGAGTATGTAGCAGCCATGTGCGTTGTGGAGATGAACTATTACACTCTTGAACAGTCTGAAAGTTTATCTTATTCAGTGTGGGCTTGTATCTCTGCTGGTCACTACTCTCTTGAACTGCACACGTGCTTTTGGGGTGTCCCCACATCCATGCAAAGGCATTGCTGTGCAAAGTGGCACCACACAGTCAGCACTGGTGGGAAGCCCTCCGTAGGGGTAGTGGGGTGGCAGGGGGGAAATGACACTTTAAATAAATTGGGAGCCATTTAAAGCATCTGGCCCTGCTCCTGAGTCTGAAAATGGGCTATTTGTTGTCATTAGAAGTAATGTTTGGGGAACACTGAGCCTGCCAGAGCAGAGCATGAAGGTTTGGTACGTCTGCTTTCTTTTTCTAGCTGAACTCTTGGTTGCATTTTAGTGGTGTGTGGGTTGTTTTTTCTTYCCYCCCCCCCTCCCCCTGATGAAAAGTCTTTTATACAGAGGAGGAGTGAGGGGGAGATGAGAAAGGAAGGCACTAGACACCAGTGTGGCAAAGGGCAAGTGTCCAACACTTACTGGTTTCACTCTTCTGGTTTGACAGTTAACTGTTCAGTTGCTCTTTTAGCAGGTTTGATGGCTTGAAATGCTTTGGGTTTCATACTATGGGGAGGAAGAAAGAGAATAATTTTGCTAGCAGATTGACAGAAGAGGCTGCAGGATTTTGGGGGCTAAAGGAGGGAAGTAACTGACTGAGCAGGGCTCACCCTTTAATATTGGATCTTTAGTCCAGTTACAGGGAACATCTTTTCTCTGAAAGCAACAGTGGAAATGCAAGCACTGGCCTGAGTGAAAAAAGCTGGATCCTTGACTCACAGAAACGGTCATTGCCAAGATCTGTTGATTACACCCGAAAAAGGCCTCGGGTCAGAAGCAAATTAAAAGGTAAGAACAGTCCGCTGTTGGCAGGGAACTATGCAGCAGAGGCACAAAAGGGCAGGCAAGGGCAATAAATTTCCAAAATCTACAGTCTGCAGACCAAGGCTGCCCTGTGCCTGTTCWGGCTCTGGCAGATGCTCATCCTCCCTGTGGTTTCAAACAGCTGCGGTGAAAGGCGAGAGTGTGTGTCTTGCTCTGGGCTGTTGGGCAGCTCCCTAGGCCCTGATTTGAGCTAGAGTGATCTAAGAGTTGGGAGCTCTCCCTCTATCTCGTGAGGAGGAAGAGCCTTGCTGATGGGCCCCTGCAGGGGTAAAAAAAGCAAAGGAAAAATGAAGGAGAAATTATGCTGTATACCATGTTCTGCAAGAGTTTGCTTTCACTCCTGTGCCAGCCCACACACCCCATTGGGGCCTAGTGGCTCTTAGGTGAGCTGTCGTGCCTGCATTTTTGGGGGGAACTGCTCTGGATTCAGCGATTCTTAGTATTGCTCAATTTGCATTGCTTAGGAGCTTTGTAAGAAGGAATTCTTGGAGCTCAGCCCATAAGTTGTGGAGTTCCTGCTTGCAAATGAAGAAAAAGCCACATTTAAAATTCTTCTTTGCCATGGTGCAGTCTTGTTAGTGGAAAAAGAACACAGTCACATCGCCAGTAACCAAGAAACCTTTTCTCCTTGCAGTACTTCCAGTGTCTTCTGCAAGTAGTGGCAGTGATCACCAGGCAAAGAACGTAAGGACCTGTAATTTTTACTGTGCTTTAGGATTCAAAGCATTGTATATACAAAACAGGCATGTATGAATGATCTGAAATTAACCAAACAGATGTTATCTTTCTTATCAAATGTTTTAAGCAAGTAAATGTTTGATACTTGGCCTCTTCACCGGAAAACTCTTACCTGACTTCTTCCCTCTTGGGTTTTCTGGCCAAGTACTGGCCAGTGCCTCGGGATACTTCCCTTTCTGTTCTGRTGGCAATTTTTGTCTTGCACTGTCAGTGTCCCTTGCTCATGCTATGAGGTTCTTCACTTCTAGAAACCTAACCATGAATTACAATGGTGGGAGGAGAAATAAGTGGCCCATACACTGATCCAAGGAAAATATAGTTTARCAGTGCCAAACTTTCCAAGGGTCCAAGTTGTAAGCACTGTATTTTGTGTGCCGTGAAGTGGTTTCCACACTAAAGTCTGGGAAATCTTTGTAGGCTTGGCAGCTATAGTGAAAGCTTTTGCCCTAAAACCTTTTATTTCTTGATCAAAAYGTTCGTCTTATTTCAGGGAAGAAATCTCCTTTAGCATTTGAGATGGCTATTCATATGTGTTAGTCATCCTTCAAAAAGTCTCAGCTTTTTAGTAAAATAATTTTAAAATATATTGAAATAAAAAAAAACTTTAAATAAAACCCTAACTTTATTTCAGTCGGGAGTTTCAAGACCAAGAGCTCAGAATGAAACACTAAAGGAAAAGGGCACATCCAGTGACAAGGGAGATGAATTACCTACTGCGAAAGTTGCTGGTATTTCTCTTTGACTCTTGTTCAAACTAATAGAAACATTGTTTTGACTGTTGTTGTTGTTGTCGTTCTTCACACCCTTTGGTAAAYGTTCTGCTGTGTGATCGTCTTGGGATGGCTGTGAAGCTGGGTAATGTTTGTGGATAAAGTATCTTGAAGAGAGAGGACATTAGCTGGGCATGRGGGTAATCTGGTGCCTAAATCATGCAGCCACATGGGAAAGGGAAGTTTGTCCATGCCCTGCCTGGGGATTCCTTATGTTCACAGTCTTGTTACCTCTCCTGTCCAGGCTAATCTGCCATCTGCACCCAAAGCTCCAGCTTTGATGCCTTTGTAAGAAAAAGACCCCTCTGAGCATTAGTGTTTTTGTCTGATGCAGGTCTGTGGTTTGGTTGAACTTGCTTAAAAGGATTTTTCTCTCCATTCTGCAATGTTAATAGTMATCTTTTTATAGTATATCTAGAGCTGCAGTGTGAGCAACAACGCATATAATACTTAGACTATTACAAACTCCCACAGCATTATCTGTGCTTACTCAGACAGTCAGAAGCTATGCAAACCAGTTGTGATGCTGTGAAATTAGTATGTCCCAATGTCAATCTCYGGACTGTGGATTGTGGTGTAACTTGCATAGGAAAAAACACAAAACTTATTACACCATTATGTAATTTTCTTTCTTATTTATTTCTTTTTCTTCTCCATGCCCTGGTGTGGTTTTTACTCTGAATGGGTTTAYTTTTTGTTTTTGACTTCCTGAGTATTACACTACTCTGAAATATCTTGTTGTAGCAGCCTATTTTCTCTGCTCCCATTTCTTCTGGGAACATGTGTGCTTGAATAAAGTAGCTTTAAATGCTATGTTATGCAAACTTAAATATTGCAGCAACCATGGGAAGTGAATAAAAGATAAAGGACCAACATAAATAAGAAAAAGCTTTTGGACTGAGTTTGAAACACTATCTTCTCTTTTATAGGTGTAAAGATAGAGAAAAGATTGTTTCCTTTTCTTTTTCTTTCCTTTTCTTGGTATTTAAATAAACTCAGTCTGTTAGTGTTTTAATAGATACAGCATTTAAAATCTAATGACTACTTTGTTTGGCTTCTCTTGTGCAGTTGAAACAYACTCAGAGGTAGAAGGGAATCCGGTAGTGAATAATACTGCTGCTGAGGGATATTCCAATGTTGAAGAGAAGCAAACACAGGTATGCTATGCAGTACTTCAGATGCCTTCTAACTTCTAAATACTTTCTAACTAAATACTTCTCATCTAAAAACTGGGGAGTAAGGCATCATGTTACTTTACATGTGCTGCATACAAGCTGTCAAGGGGTTATTTCTATTTTTTTTTTCTTTCCCTTCCTTTGTCCTTAGAATTTTCCTGATCAGTCTGGCAAGTTGTCAAGAGAAGAGGAATTGTTCAAGCGGAAGGACTCGGGTACGTACGTACCTCAGGACTCAGGTCTCAATAACACAGAAGAGATCTTAAAAAGGCAGAAAGGGGTGTTTAAATGTAAAAAGAGTTCTGAAAGTTGTTGCCTTTATTTCTGAGAGTAAATATAGAGACCATCCTTCAAGCTTTTTGTAACTGGAAACAACTGAGTTTCACAGAAGTCAGATAGAATGGGGCTCCYTGTGACTTGTATTCTCATTAATATTCTTGCTCCCAGTCTAGTTCTTGGAGAGACTGTTTTGAAGTTGTTGTTACGCATTGAGCTACCAAAGCCCTGGGCTTAGCCAAAAGAATCTCCTTTCTTGTGAGGTGGCTCTATTCATGTTCCAGATACAGGGGTCTCATCCATCAAGCGTTTGCAGAGTGCTTCCCAGTATAAACTCTTTGGCTTAATTTTGAGGGAAAAGAAAAACCTGTAACTTTATCAGTTTGTCACTGTTTACTGGACAATGTTGCAGCTGGAAAGGAGTTGAAGGAGGAATTAAGGTTATGTTCAGAAGTTTAGGTGTGGGTAATGATGCATTTGAATATTTTCCCCACGAGCCCTAAATCTCTGCATTTCCCTGGATGCTGCTCCAGTGTGCTTGTCATGGTCCAACTGTACCTCTGTGTCCTGAACACTACTACTTCCCTAACTTCCCTATGTCCTGACCTCTTCCAGTGCTTGAGTGGCAGCTCTTCAAGGATAGCTGTTTTGCTGAGTTCATGCAAGCAGACAGTGGGATCCAAGGGATCCAAGATTTTTTTTTTTTTTTTTTCTCCTCATTTTCATTAAATATGGCATGCTGCCTCTAGCTCTGTGTTCCTGAAAAGGGTGATGTTTTTGGTGGTGGAAGGACTCTGCTTCTACTCTGACCAAAACATGGTTTAGTTTGGCTCCCTGTAGTCAAAAAGGGTGAAGTCAGGTTGGAAGAGGTGCAGAGGAGAAGAGTATGAGGACTGAGTGAACTTCCTTTCAAGACACTGAAAACATAATSCTATGGGACCATGCTTGCATGTCAGCACCACTGTGCATGCCTTTGACAGCAGACCTTTGTGTGCTCTCTGGTGGATGGGGAATTCGGGAAAATAAAATGCCCGAATCTGTCAGGTAAGGATTACAGATGTGGAAAGAAAAGTGCATGTGGCTGGGTGAAACTATTTTGTGGCAACCTTAGTGAAGTTGGAAAAAAGGTCATTAGAGATGATTAACTTTTCTCTTTCTGATATATTTTTGCAAAGATGTTATGTTACACAGCTGAAATTAGCTCAGGAACAAACAGTCAGAAACAGGCTGAGAAACTTGGACTAGAAAACACAAGAGGGAAGAAGCCAGGTGAGAGTTTCCTGGTAAGGAGGCCAAGTAACAAATTGTTTTTAAGCTGGAGATATGATGACTTTCCAGTTATTGACGTAGCACTAGGCAACACAATGACCTGCCTTTGCAAGGAMAGAGACTTGCTGGTGCAGTCTTGTGTCCTTTGATTGAAAAAGACCTTCAAGATTGAGTCCAACCATAAAACCATCACCACACGGCTCCTGAAGTGTCCCTGAGTGCCTCATCTACATGTTCTTGAACACTGCCAGGGACAGTGACTCCACTGCTTCCCTGGGAAGCCTGTTCTAATGTATGACCACTCTTGGTGGATAATGCCATGCACCTCATCTTAAAAAAAAAAAAAAAAAAAAAA